AAATACAAACGGGTAAGAGCTGCATATACCAGTAATAGCGGACAATAACAAAACATCGCCTTTAAAGGTCACATAAACCCTAGGGTACAAATACATAAATCACTAACTGGCATCGTTATAAATGAAACCCCCGTCATTAAAACTACTCATTTCGACCTTTAATTGACTTAAATCGACCTTTTGACAACAGTGCACAATTCTCACCCGCGAACGAAATTTCAACTAATCAGAGCGGCGCGGCGCCCTCTGTGACGTCATATGAGGAATAGCTTTGAGGGCCGATGCAGAATTCATCTACATTTTAGGGTTAAATTATCTTGTTTTACAGGCTTGTATAAAACCTGAAATCGTGACAATTGTTGTGGAAAATGAAAGCTATATGTTCTCACAATCTACTGTCATTTAATTTTGTCTCCTGCTTTGCCTAGTTTCCGAGTTACAACTTGTTTTCATAGACGATTCTGTCAAAATCGATTGGTGTCGTTAGGCCCTATTTGTATAATGACTGATCCAAATTGATCCCATTTCTGTGTTTTTTACCTCGATATTTAATCATGTCATGTAAAAATCTGTTTGTATTCTCAAAACAGTGTCGGCCCATAAGTTTTCACATGCAATACAGCAATTAATACTCCTTTGTTGTAACCTCGTGTTAGGTGGTATAAACCTACATTATGTTATTTGTCATCATTCACTTGATGGTCAGTTAATGAATTTATAACAGGTATAATTAGTGGGTAACACACTTAGATTACCCGACAAAGGTTCCCATTTGGCATTTCTTGTGTCTGGAGTAAATATTCAACATTATAAACATCGATCAAAGGATTAACCGATAACACGCTGATTGATTAATGGTGAGGTGAAATAGGGTTTTGGAACGTCGTGCTTGAGAATATTTCGCTCTTCATATGACGACATACATGGCGTGTATGTGTGGCTGCTTGCACTACTGGCATACTTAAAGCTGGTTTTAAAACGCTAGCCCACTGTGATACCATGCCCTCAGTTAAACATGAATAACCCCACTCAGACACATTATACTGACTCCGAGCCGACCAGTCCTTGTTGTATCCATTAATGCCGAGCGCCAGGCAGGGACCAACAAGCACCATATTTTAATGGACATTAACCGCGGAATTCTCTCACCAAGAAATTTATCGCGCAGTATTGTGACTTCGACCCCCACCTCGCTGCGTGGAAGAAACGTTATGTTATAATAGTTTGAGGTCATGCAGGGAATCCGTTTGGTTATGTTCCAATACATATTTAACTTACGAGAGTAGAAAGTAGTCTTGATTTTTCTAACCTGTGGAAAACAAGCTATAATCTCTCATTAATTCTAACAGATGTTTATTATTTTTACATCCGCCGGAAAGCAATCCTCTTCGGTCTGAGGATACAACTTGTATTTAGGTTTGTTTTCACTGAGTTAAAGAAAAATCAAAACTTACGCCCTATTGGTATAATGACTGATCCATTTTATTGATGGCCAATAGGATTTTTGCATGACATTTAATGTATATCATAACAATTTCTCTCGTGGCAGCGAGGTGGAGTGTCAATATAATACTACTTACAATATTATTGTTACTTCGACTACAACCTCACTTCCGAGGAAGAAATCGTTATGTTACAAGTTGTGTCATAGAAAATCTTTTTTAACGTCTTTTGGTATGACGCGGTCGGGGATCGAACCCGCGACCTTCCGCTCTCCGGGCGGACGCTCTAACCACTACACCACGGAGGCGGTCTTTTGTATGATAACCTGTGATTGTTTCGGCATTAGAGTTTTAGTATACAACTGGCAGTTGTTTCGGTTTGTTATTTTGTTAAACGCCCCCACTTAGCCATATTCCAACAACATGGCGGCGGTCTGTAAATAACAGAGTCTGGACCAGACAATCCAGTGATCAACAGCATGAGCATCGATCTGCGCAATTGGGAACATGACATGTGTCAACCAAGTCAGCGAGCCTGACCACCCGATCCCGTTCGTCGCCTCTTTCGACAAGCATGGGTTACTGAAGATCAATATTCTAACCCGACCTTCACGGGTCGTAAAGGGCATAAGGGAATATATGTGTATCTACTCTTAAACGTCGCCTCTCGTTTCGATCGATTGAGCTCTGTACTTTTATATTTATAGTCACTACTAGCATGAAAGCATGCTTCAAGCTGCACTTATGACTATTTGCATACGTGTACTTGTATATGATTATACCCGTGAAGGATGGGTTAGAATATTGATCTTCAGTAACCCATGCTTGTCGTAAGAAGGCGACCTAACGGGATCGGGTGGTCAGGCGCGCTGACTTGGTTGACATATGTCATCGGTTCCCAATTGCGCAGATCGATGCTCATGCTGTTGATCAGTGGATTGTCTGGTCCAGACTCGATTATTTACAGACCGTCGCTATATAGCTGGAATATTGCTGAGTGCGGCGTAAAACTAAACTCACTGACTCACTGTATATGATTACGAGTGTATACAGAATGAAGGCATTCATGCATGATGCAAGAGGAAAGCGATGCGGGTGTCAGATATTTACTACTTTATTGAAAACTAAGATCACGGGTTGGTGCTGACAATTTGACAAACACAGCCAGGGGGAATCTGGGGTTCGAACATGCATAGGCGGATCCAGAAGGGGGTGCGGGTGCAGGGGTGCGCACCCCTCTTTTGTCCTGAAAGTTTATTAAATGACCATTGAAACTCGGATGAAAATGACATGTACACTCTCCCTTTTCTCAATAGTATGACCATTGAACGCGTTCTAAAAAGCTGTATCCGCCCTGAACAATTAAATGACGTGTGTTGCGACGCCTTTGACTGATGAGGCGCTCCTTTTCCCACTGCAGTTTACAACATTTCGCTTGTAACGACACACACATATCTCTGAAATCATCACTTCACACGTTTAACTTTACTCAGTTATCTGTTTTACTTGTCCGTTGTTTGGACGCGTTCCTGAGGAACAATCTGGGTTCATGACGGCGGTCTGTTCATAACTAAATCTGGACCAGACAATCCAATGACTGACATCATGTGCTTATGATTTTTTCATATTTTATATATATATCTATGTGAGTGTGTATGTGCGTTGGTGCGCGCGCGCAAATGTGTGTGCGCGTGTTCTCGTTCGATGAGTGCCGTTACCTTCACACTTTCATAGCATTCATGTTTATTATCCCCAAAAGTAAACTACATTAGCGTTTTATGTTTATTCTATCTTGAAGTAAGTTTGCTTAGAGCCTCGTCACGATATGGCTGAGATATTGCCGATGTGACGTTAAATATTAACTCACTCACTCACTTAGAGCCGTTCGTGCGTAACTATTGCCACTATGGTATGTGCGCCACAGATCAATCAGTATAACAACCATTACAAAACTACAAAAGAAATATATATTTGCGGACAAAAGAAATTGTACAGTCTGATGGTTCCTAACGTTTAAAACAAGGTTATTGGACTGGGATGTCACAGTTGTGTTGGGGACCTTATATCTGCAGTGTTTCGGCGAATGATTTTTCTCGTTACCTTTATTCAAGATTTGTCATTTCTTTGTTAAGTCCAATTTTCCAGTGAGTACTTTCTCTTGCCAATTCATTATTTTATTATATCAATATTATTCAAACGTGACACGACTGACTTACAGCATACACATTTAATTAAATACCTCAAATATAAATATATTGTACGAATTAGATTTATTACGTCATTGTTTTATCGTGTTGGAATCGGAGATGAAAGTTGATATAATTCTCCCATTTCTAAAAAGACGTACATGAGATAAATATGTTTAATTGCTACAAAAAAAAAGAAGCGTATACCTTCTCATTTCCTGTTAGGTGTAATATATTGTTGTTAAAAATATGAAAAGGATTACCTTACATTTAACTTATATTATCTGCATTATAACGATTTGAAAAGTATGAGCGTGTGAAACGTCATAACTGTATTTACTTATATTCCATAATCAGCTTAAAACCGTGTTAGGCGTTGTTATCATGGTAACAAACGCTCATAGGGAAGTAATCGGGTTCTTGTAAATTAAACAGATGTCACGTTTAGGTAATATTGTGTGTCTTACAAAATTGTCAATGGATTATGTAAACAAACAGATTAAGATGATGCCAAACGCGTATTTATCTTTCAATAGTAGGATTAGAGGACGAGAGATAATTAGCGCTGGGTGTTCTCTAAGAAAATGAATTCTAAAACAGCACATTCCTATATTTGTGCATATATTTTTAAAACAATTTAATAGCAAAATGTATATGTTCACGTGAAATTAAAATACCAACCGAATTTTAATAATGAATCCATGATCCACACGTAGTTCCGAGTCGACTTTTAGTGCTAACCTGTCAAAATCTGACGATGGCTCCTCCCACTTATCAAAATCACGTGGAGTACAAGACGCTTCTCGCCCAGACAGACCAATCAGATTTAGTCTTCTATGTTGCTCGCCAACAAGACCAAACTTTTGCACGAATTACATAATACAAGCTTCTGAAAATGTTGTATCAGTGGTTGATGTTTGTTTAAAAGATGCGTATATTATATTTCGTTTGAAGTTTTAATGTATAAAAGGCCCTGCGTTGCATAATATAACCAATGATTACTTTCAGGTGAAGGTAGCCTATTGTCCTCTCTCAAATACCGCCAAGACGCCAAAAATCATGCATATGTACTTGGCGACTGAAAACAGTTCCTTAAAAACTTGTGTTTTCAGTGAAAATCCTGCTAAATAAAGAAGGCGGTCTCCTTTACTCCACGTGACTCACTTGATTATTCACACATTATGCCAATTTATGTTAAAGAACTCAGGTGACTTGCAATCCCTGCGCTGCGATTGGTCGAGCGGGTCGTGAAGTTGTGAATAAGAAATTAGCTCACGTGGATTATGAATACGCTGGATTAGTTGAGGATAGGGCCAATCAGTGAGAAGCTGACTTGACTGGCGTATTTTCCCACTGCCATTGTTACCAGAGAGTTAGCGCTGAGCTCAATTATCTGAATGTGTGTGTGGTATCGGCGAGGCACTAGAAGACGTCCCTTCAGCGCTTGCAGTTCGTACCATAAACTGCGGATATATTTAACCTAGATTCTGTGCGAGTGGATTGCGATGTGTTCATAATCAATTTACATGCGGATGGAGGTGTAGACTACGAACATTGTGATATGTTCCCCGTTGAAGTGCTTGTTCGCGGCGGTTAGCCCGGCAACTCAGCTATCTGGCCCTCATTGTGTGGCTGGCGAGTGCGACCCGCAGCCCTCGCGGACTTCGCCTCGTTTCTGAGGCTATTTCTTCATCCCCGGAACCAATATTACCTACATAACATACGTATATATTGCGAGAGGACGGGCAAGTGAACAACATGTATCCAAATCGACACCCGGTAAGTGTAGAGCGCCGTGGAGACGTGAATCGTGGAGCGTGGGTCTGCTCTCTTTGTTCCCATTCCTGTCCGTTAGGCCCTCCATCACGTCACGTGGCCTACTATCATCTCGCCTAGTGATGAGTTAATGCAGAATCACATAAGTGAATTGAACCTGGAATTCTACTAAATTATTCCGATTTTTGTGATTTCTGCATTCGGGATGTAGTTTGTGAGAGGAGTAAGGTTATCGTATCTTTGTGCGTTTGATTTCAGGGTCCGCCCCAACCTGGACAACCTTTCAAGTTCACGGTGTCTGAATCGTGTGATCGTGTGAAAGAAGAATTCAGCTTCCTGCAAGCCCAGTATCACAGGTAAGAAACAGCCGAAATTTCAACCCAGCCAAGCAGAACGCGAGCACCCACTCCCAGCTCATCGCTGTTTTTATTTCTCTCCCGCTTCCACTGTTTACATGAGCTCATGTAAGCGCCATGTTCACTCGACTGTTCAAGCCCCTCGAGTCCAGGTCAGAACCGTCGCTGACATTTCAAGGTACTGGCGTGCCTTCTTGTCACTATCGTCACTTCTAAAGTGATCGATGTAGGCAAAATAAACATCCACTTGTCAAATCAAATGCTTTGCTTGTTTGACAGTCGAATAGGTGTTTTACAGACAGCTCGAAGGTTTATAAATCAAGCTATATGTGAGCGGATGTGTGTTTATGAAAGCTATATACACCATAAACTAGAACAATGTACATAGTGTTGGGTTGTCTCCAACATTGTGAATATTAAAACTATTCACTATGCAGACAGGACACGCCCATTGCAGTATTGCACAATATTATCCCAAAATCTGCGTGATATGAAATTTATATAGTACAGAGGTAAGTTGTTATTAATGAAATGTTACAGGGTACTTTATTTCAGAATGATGAAATATTGTTGACATCCGAGTTGAATTATTTTTGTCTTAATCAGCAAAGCTTCTGTTTGGTTGGTCTAGACGCGATACAACATATTGAAGAAATCAATTCTCACACAAAAGTCAATGAAAGCCGTGTTAGCAAGGGCTGAAAGCTATCTGTGTAATTTGCCTCCACCATATGGCATATAGCAATGGGGGTATTTATATCTTGATAGCATTTGAGGAGCACTTTTGCGTGCAACATGTCCTGGATTTCAAATATACATCCATGTTTGTTTAGCATGGTGGCATTGGGTAGTGGCCACAGTGACTCTGGATTAATTACACTTTGTTTACAATTTTGTCATACACTTGATATTATATGTAGACGTTTAGTTTTCATTATGATCGGAAGTAAACAAATTATTTTACAAGTTAATTGACTCAGACCGCCTGTTGGCAATATGTACACCAAATTCACCCTTGAAATTGATAACTTCGGTGGTCCATCTGTAACATCAGCTGAGCTAGTGAGATAATCAGAAAAATCCAATTTATAAAAACATTAGGCTAATCACTTTAAATGCTTTTGCAGATTAAAATATATGCTGTGAATAAACACTCACCTGTAAACACCACTGTTTGTAGAGGGGAATATTAGCTCAATAGTTTTATGTATTAAATTATTAGCACAGGTTGAATAAACAATGGCTGTTGTGAAACACATAATTATTGTCATTGATGGGGGGACCTTGTTCCCGATCTAAATTTAGGTCACATGGCCAAATGGAAAGGTTGTTTCTCAAGATCAAAGGGCTTGACTGTCAGATGGCATTACTGAGCTGTTTAACTGGCTGTTATCATAATTCAGCTCTGTACCTCATCTAGGGTTTATAGACATTCTGTCTTCTTAAGTGCCATATATTTTAGAGGAAGTGTATATTTCAGCGCAGGTAGAAAGACCACAGATTGTATTTTTGGTGATTACTTTCAAACCTCAAGGTACACTACTCAAAATGTGTTAACAGCTGATTTGTCTAGAATGTTTATTCTGTCATGCGTATTGCAAATGCAGCCTTTCAATTGTATCAGTTCCACTTTTTGAGTGGTATACATGTACTTACAAAACAGCTTAGATTGCAATAGTTTTTAATGCAATGTTAGACAATCAGATCTATTTTTAGAAGGATGTGATTTTTTAAACAAGATTTAAGCTTTATAATCATGAAATATTTACAAAATTGCTCATAGTATCTTGCTATTGTTCCAAGTTGACCTATGGCTAATGTCTTGTAATCATTATTTAAATATGTCAGGCTAGCTCTGCCTTCCATGTGCACAGAGTACTTGAAGACATGGAGAGCATTAAGTAGCTGGAACACGGGTGCTTAGTGTGCATAGTGTTGCTGATTTATCAGTCACTTACAGTAAACACACTAGAGTGTGGACTGTTACTGAGATAGGTCTGATAGCACAGCACAATGCAGGTACACAAATGACTCACATTGGAGGTATTTTATGTTTATCAGAAGGTTTGCATTGTAGGATCACATGTCAGTGTTTAGGCCAAGATAATCACACAAAAGTCACTTGAAAAGGACGAGTCAGTGCAGTCAGACCTTTGGTGTCTTAAAGGTGCACTGCCTCTTTTGTGTGAATCTGTCTTTCTCTCTGTTTACGTTGAAGAATGGATACACTTTTGTGAGTTTTGGGTTTAGATTTTAATTTATTTAATTTCTTTTGCCCCATAGTGCTGAAGTACTAGCTTAAACATATGTTTAAGGCATATTTCATGACATCCATGAGAATATTTGTGAGACCATATGGCATATGAAATGAGGGGGAACCAAAATTGGTGAAAGGAAATATTTATTGTCTTTTGTTAAATTTAGACTCAGACACTGTATGTTGAAAACAATTGTAAACTTTGGTCTAATATTCACATGTCTGGAATTATTGTTCAGCCTTTGTAACTTGGCATCTTTCTCATAATTCTCAGCTCACTGAGATGACATGCATTCCTGGTACTTAAGGTGATGTGGTTAATAAGTAAATAAGTAGCACTTCATTAAGCCACACCACAGTCTCTTGTCATGCCAGTGAATACCAGGAATTGGATAGAATAGGTCCTCAGCAATTTGTGCTTATCTTAAGAGGTGACCAAGTGGATTGGTAGTGAGGCTTGGTGATCTGGTTAATAGTGTGTCCTTGAACCCTGACGTGTGAACTGTTGCTCACATTATTGATCACTGGATTGTGTGGTCTAGATTAGATTTATTTACAGACTACTGGAATATTGCTGAAGCGTAAACAAACTAACCATGAATGAGCTTCATACATTGTGACCACATGTGGAGATGAACCCAAGACTACAGTGTGGCAGTTAGCCACAAGACTGTTTCTATACCTGTGATATAAGATTATTAATGTGTGTACAGTGAAAGTGTCAAAATGCAATATTCTGTTAGTATCTGGTCCAGAATGGACTCAAAACAGGGATTCCATTAATGTCGTCTACCAATGTGCTATCCTGGATTAACAGCTGTGTAAAACTCTACACCCCCACTCACCCTGCTGGTTTGACAGGTTGACATTTACTGTAGCAAGCTCACTGAACTGTTAACATGTTCTGATGCAAGTTGCCTTTAATTTGAGACTTCGTGAGAGGGCTTGGAAGTTAGAACTCTCGACATATCGCCCAAGGGCACATCTGGGATGGTGTATTTACTGCCTACAATGTGCTATGAGATTAATATCCTTTATTTGGAGAGCTGCTGCAGCCATTAGTAATGTGATGCATTAATGATGAAGTAATGGAAGAACTGAAACTATAATCAATACATTTGTGCATCAGTGAGACTGAAAAACATGAACTGGTTAGTACTTAACAACACGTTGTTCTTAATCAACAGAGAGTGTCCTTTTGTTAATTTGAAAAAAATATATATATACCTATATGTACTAGCTGTTATGGTCTCTGAATGTGACTGATTTTTGTGAGTGGATGTGTAGTGCTAGGTTACTGTGTAGAAATGGAGTTAATGAAAAGCTATTGTGTCCATGGAATATTTGTCAATTGAATCGAGTTAGGAAGCACCCAAAGTAAACACTGATATGGATAACATCTTCTTTCACCCCAAAACAACATTTACGTGAAGCCAGTACCAGATTATCAGGACTCCAACCTCAGCCACTTGTCAGATGCTTGACTCCAGTCAACTATCAGTTTCTTACTGTTATCTGGGTATGAAACAGTTAATATAATAATACTAAAATCTGTTTAAATGATGCTAGTAGTCAAGTTTAGATATTTGGACTCAGTTTATTTGGTCACAGATTGCTTGAATATTTATCTACCTGCAAGACTGTGTGTCTTCTAAGAATGTTGTTTAAGGGAAGTTGTCTCCCTTGTGTTTGTACCAGCACATCATTTGGAAGTGACTTTTTGATATTTTGGTGTTGAAGGAACAGAAACCTGTGTAGAAAACGTACATTTTAGGTCTTTGAACTAGGACTTGCCAAAACTTACCTTGAAAGGACATTTTACATTTATAATTTTTTCTCAACTTTTTGTTCAAGGTACACAACATGTCCAGATTGTTTCACTCTTGGGTCTAAAACCTGAAGTTATTATTGAAACCATATTATGTATTTCCACTTTTTCTGAAATAATGGGGGTGGTGGGGTAGCCTAATGGTTAAAGCGTTAGCTCGTCACGCCGAAGACCCGGGTTCGAATCCCCACATGGGCACAATGTGTGAAGCCCATCTCTGGTGTCCCCGCCGTGATGCTGCTGGAATATTGCTTAAAGCGGCGTAAAACCAAACTCAGTCAGTCAGTCTGAAATAATGAGTTTCACAAATATCCCAGAACATAAAATAGTGTATCTTCACCTGATGAAGTCCCAAGACATTTAATTGATGTGATGGATGAACACTATTGATCTAGTCCAACTGTCTGCACATCAAGACTGATAGTTTCTGTAGAATATCTAGATTCGAGAGGAAAAACCTTCTCATTCTAATGAATTTGTGGCCTTGTCTAAGCCTCTATGTTGGATTCAAATTAACCACCTAGGATTCCTCTCGTTGAAAAGGCAGCCACACCCGTGTCAGGTTTACCATTCAGTCAATGTGGATCTGAGCTGCACATAGACAGGCTACTAGAAATGTTCCTGTACATACTCTCTGCAGACATACTGAGATGAGCTCAGCAATGATTTACACAGGACATTGCAGCCTTTGTTGTAGAGGCAGCATAATGAAGCATAGTGCAACACAACACTACTCCATACAGTAGCCATTCTCAGTGCTTTGTTAATGTTGAAATTTGCAATCCATTAGGCATGTCACAGCCAGCTAGGGTTACCAATCAGTTGTCATGGCAACGGAAAGGTTGCTTTGTGATATTTTTACATTAATTCTTACTAATATAACATTTGTATTGTTGATCAGAAAATGACAGGTAATCTAATAATTTATGGACATATGGCGAGGTTATTAAGTTTAATGTTAGTCCAAGAAATAAGGCTTATTGACTGACGATTATGAAACTAAGTCCATTTATAAGATGGTGATCTTTAAAAATCGAAATGAAATGGTATGAAGTCTTTACTTACTGTCTCAATTTATCCACTCAGAATTTTAGGTTAAATAATTGCAAGAACTGTAAAAAGAATTTGCATGGTATAGTACACACATTTGAATATAAACAGTCCTCATGTTGATATTATGTATAATTAATATGAATGCACCTTATGGATAGATATGTAGGGAATTATTATGCATGATAAATTGTCATCCATGCATTGAATAACCTAATGAGAAAGTCTAATTTGGAAGAATTCTACTGATGCCATTAAACCATGTTAACCATTGTTTGATTGTCATACAACTTACTGTCGCCTGTCTGTCTCCTGATGTGGAAAGTTCACATTTGCATTCAGACAACTCTCAGAGGATTTTAATTGGTTGATGAAATTATAAATCAATGAGATAGTTTTGCTATGATTAAACACTTGTTAAGGTCCTAAATATACTTATTTCAAGGAGCTGACATACTGATATGTATATATATACAGACAAACTTTATGGATAAACAACTTCTTTATTCGGTAGATGCGGAGAATCTGTTTCGTTGTCAAGCAAGTATGATATGTTTATATATACAGACAAACTTTATGGATAAACAACTTCTTTATTCGGTAGATGCAGAGAATCTGTTTCGTTGTCAAGCAAGTATGATATGTTTATATATACAGACAAACTTTATGGATAAACAACTTCTTTATTCGGTAGATGCGAAGAATCTGTATAGTTGTCAAGCAAGTATTATATGTTTATATGCTGATGGGAACTCAAAACTCTTCAGGGAATGAGGACATTGTCAAAACTGACGTGATTGCAGCATCTCTGAATGATACAAAAAGGTACAGATGATACACATAATTGTCTCTGAGCAACAATACTGTATACAAGGACATGTCACGAGGCTTGATGACGGAACATGTTTACAAACATCCTGTTGCTTGAGAATTTTTGATGTTGAGAAGGTAGAGTTTTACAAATGAGTGCACCATAAGATACAGATTGGACTTGGTTTTCAGCTAACCAGACTTTCCTTTTAGGCAACTAACAGGATTTTATGGTGATATTTGCTGATTTGGTTGATGTATATCATCATATCCCGATCAAAAGGATAAGTGTTCATGATGTTCATGACTGGATTGTCTGATCCTTTTAAGGCCAGGGTAGCCTAGTGGTTAAAAGCACGACGAAGACCCTGGTTCGATTCCCCACGTGAGTACAATGTGTAAAGCCCATTTCTGGTGTCAGTGCTGTGATATTGCGGGAATATTGCTAAACATTGCATAAAATCATACTCAATTTCTCACTCACACTTTTACAGGCCACAATCATATGACTGGAATATTGTGGGCAAGGGTTACACTTGTATTTAGATACTCTCCATACCCAGATGATACGATGGGCAATTATGTACCTTAGTTTTTGATCAGAAGAAGCTGTGATTGTATTCTCAGAATCGCTAAGGATATTTTCTCTTGGCTGTTCTTACAACATCTTGACATCATGTGTATCTTGGTGTGCAGGTCTGTACCACGATATGATCAACTATAATATGACTGTTAATTATTCACATATAAATCCTCGCCTCAGTGTTTGCAAACAGATTGGATTAATCCTCTGGATTTATACCCGTGAAGATGGTTTGTCAGAAATAGGTCACTGTGACCTATAATTATCCAAATGGTTATTTGCGATTGGTTTTTAATTTGCTTGTAGCCGTTATATTTCACACATGCATGCACTTGGTTACATGGGTGAATATTGACTTTGGCCTTATGTCCGTGTCAGCCTCTTAAACCCATTCACTGTCAGTCAATCATAAAATTGAAAATTGATTTCCACGTATTGATTTTTTTTTTTCGGGCAGAACCCCCAATCTTGTTATGTTTTCGAGATACTATTCAGGGTTATGCTCGACGTGCGAGTTCAAGTACATTATGTTGAAGTTGCAAACAAACCTCGTGATCATGACAAAGTCACAGGTAATTTTTCTCCTTCCCCCCCCAATTGTTGTCTTTTGTATGGAAAATATATTATGGGTATTTAAATATTTTAAATATACTATGGGTATTTTCCTGAAATGGTCAAAGCAAAACATTGTTAAACTTATGGACAGTGCTTTTTATCTGACATTTGGCATATGGTTCATAGTTCACAAGGTGACCTTAGAGGCACGTGTATATTTGCGACCATTATCTATTTAGCTTTGTCTCAACAAAGAATTAACATGACATGTCCATGTACAAAATTATTTGATGCTGTTTTCTTGTGCGTCTCCTTGATCAAGACTGTCAGAGTCTCAAACTATGGAATTAAGCTAGGTTTTGTGTTGCTATGAAAGACCTCACTAAATCACTCTCATTCATTCATTTTTGTTGGAATGTATTACTTATTAAGTCCTTGTGTGTCTTTCCAGCTTGAAGATGGAATGTGAAAAGCTAGCCCAAGAGAAAACTGAAATGCAGAGACACTATGTTATGGTAAGTATGTGAATCATATCAGTGAACAACAATATTTCTACTTGAAATTGCTCTTGTTACCATGGATACCAGGAAATAGTTGTTAACGATAAATGTGTGTGACAAATATTTTAAAAAGAGAATTGTCACCTGCTTGGAACCACCGACTTTGCACAAAGGTTATAGGCTCATCAATATGCATGGTATGCAACAGGGTTTTAATTTCAACCTTATTAAAAAACTATAAATCAATAAAGTTACGGATCCCACGACTTGTCATGTAGAGGATGTGTCATGCGTGGTATGATTCAACCACAATGGATTTTATTTTCTTGAGAACTGACATCTTTTTTTTTGTAGAACAACAATGAACTAAAACTATGTTAGATATGCAAGGTATTCAACAACATCTGTGCTCGAGTTAACTTGGTGCAAACAGGATTTGTATTGGTTTAAAAGTATTGATCTCATTCTGTAGTTAGACATGTATTATTGTATATTGGTAATTCGATACAGTTAATTGATATGCGGTAAAACACTGTGAAGGCCATTTGCTTGATATATTGTGTAAAACTTGATCGCGGTGGAATCTTTTTCAGCACTCTTGAGATAATATCGGTAAACTGCTGTCTCAGAATGTGCTTAACTCAATGAACTGTATATGAATCCGTGAGTTGATATGTTTCAATGAATTCCTAACTCTTGGTTGTCAGTTGTATTAAAGGTCTACATTATATATTACAGTTTTTCAACGGCCTTGCACAGCTAATGTTAATTGTGTATGTGTATTTAAGGATAACGAAGATTTATTGATGGCAAACATTTTGTTTTCTAATTAATTACTCAGGGATCCTTTTATGAAGATATTTGAAAGATTAGTTTGGTATTTGATTTGATAATTAAAAATTAATACTGAATAATTTGCTGAGACTTTAGAAAATAAGGGTTTGCCATCTGTCAACAGGGTCAGTATTAGTCATTAATTAATGATGAACTTGAAGTCAGTAAGAATGACAATTTCAATCAGATTGAGGAAAAGCAATGGCATATTTTTAGATAGTATTTGGAACTGAAGAGGTGCAGCTAATCCCATCACGAGACACTATGCTCTAATACACTGATGTTCGTTGTAATGATTCTAACTTTATAACTGGAGGGTAAAGTCATAATCAATGTAAGCCATCGGCAAACAAATAATGACGGTTGCTGTTGTACTGTCCTGACACACAACATATGGCCCAAGCTTAGCTGGGAGACAATGTGTTGCTAACACTTGTGTTCTTTCATCAAATATTTTGTGTCATGTGAACAGTTTGGGATGAATATAGATCATTTTCATTGATCCGATTGCATTGGAGAGATCTGTTGTCCAGTTAAGAGTTGGGAGATGGTTTATACATGCAATGATTGAACAAAATCAATGCCTTGTATTTTCTTCTAATTTTCTACTTGTCTGGTTTGAAATGGTAATTACAGTGCAAATTATCCTCCCACCTTTACCATATTAATTTTGGCATACCATATTGTAGAGTTATTTGCCCTTGCTGCTAAAGGTGAAAGAAGCACTGGTCAGGGTTTGGAGTGATGCAGACAGATGTCTCAAGTTTGAATGTGACTAATGTGGAAACTGCTTACATGTATGTGTTCCATCGTACCCTTCTTCTGTAAACTGATAGGTCTCAGGCAACAGATCTACTGTTTATAACGGCAACTCCGTACCCTTGACTCAGCGCTTCAATATGACTGTCATGATCTAGCTGAGTTATCTTACCCTAAAGCTGAAAGATATTGGCTTGTTCCCAACACTAAGTCAGTTCAACAGTAATTGCTGTGATTAATGACCGGTGGTCATATCTTGTCTAATTAATGACAAATATGAAACTGGATCATCGTTTCTTTGTATGTACGTCCTGAGTTACCCGCTCGCTTCATAGGCTGTCAGTTATCAGACACTTCTGTATAGATGGTTTGATGAGATAAGCTGGGGCTGTCGAATTGTCTGAGGGTTGTGTTCCTTTAAGGGGAACACTGCAGACATGGACATAGTCAGGCTAATGCAGTACTTGTTTCTTACCCAGTGGGTAAATGGATTGACCTCTGCATGTTTATGTGACGTAACGATTATAATGTTTATGTGAAGAAAGGTTTTTTGAATATCAAACCATGAAAAAATATGTAAATCCGGATTCTAATAAAGGTTATGTGGGTTAAACCTTCAACTTGTTTTCCTTGTAACCCTTCCGATGAAATTAAATGTGTAAGGTTTCCTAATTTGCTTTAGAACCTCTAGGGGGACGAATGTTGTAATCAGACCGAAAGTATGAAAATATTGCCCAAACTAATATTGATATTGGCAGCGTGGCCCTAGTGATTTCTCTACAATGGAGCCCAATCTCCGATATCAAGACGGCCGTGTTTACGCAGCTTCAATCGTTCCATCTAATGATAGCTTGATAAATCAGATCTCCATATTTGTTATCAACAGACGGGGCAGAATTGGATGACTGCTTTGCTGGCTTGTCTGTATCTACATGTAGACCCTCTCATTTCATTACAAAGTGACAACGCCATGTCGTGGAGTACGTTTGCAATGTTCGGTATATTATTGCCCATGTGCTAAACACTCCGGACCCAATATCCGCTGTCGAGGATTGCTGGAACTTGCCTTGGGAGGAATGAATAATTTAGGTACAGACCCACGTTGAGATGGGATAATTTCCTTAGAGAGAGTCTCTTATCGCAGATCTTGACTGGGTCTGAAAATCCTCGCACTGCAGCCTACCTAATCGTCAATAGACGACAACTCGTAGCCCGAAAGCTAATATCGCTTTTTTAGCATTTGGCGTTCTCTTTCCTCACTTGTCTCGTGTTAAAATGGCCCGATGTTCATTGATTTTCTCTGCACTTGTCAGAATTTCATCCTATGCCCAGGATTATGCAAGCCGAATGACGATGGTAAACTAGAGAAATTGGCTTCCGAAAATAGTTTTAGCCGCCAAGTGCTTTGAATAATGAATAGGTTTGGGTCATTTTCTTTCATGTCGCCATTTTGCTGCAGGCCTCCTCTCCAGTCTTGTCTTTTTCCCTGCCAATCACCCACCAGGCGGAAAATTATATTTTTTATTACTATTATGTCTTGGATTGATTTGAAATATTCGTCCATAATTCTCATATCGGTCCCAAACTAATGTTAAGAGAGCATGAAAACGACTCCCATTCATAACAGGTTTCATTTTAATATTTTCTCCTCAAATTGATGCTGTAAAATCTTGAGGCAAAATATTTCAAATGAAGTTCAATTGGAAATCAATTACTTCTTTTGAAACTGCTGCGTCAAAGAATGTCTAATTACTTCAGTGATGTAAAGGTTCCATGTCAGACTTATGGATCTTAACAAGTATTATTAACACAAGAATTTTCGAAGTGAAGCTTAGGGGTATATTCTGTTCAAGTAATATCTTTCGGGCATATGTTACAAATGAAAACAACCTAAATTATTAATTCAGACGAAGAATTAGATATTTTTACCAATTTGTTTTTGTAGCCATGTTTTAAACTTACCATGGTGCTTGTATAGAGATAATTATTGCGGGTATGAAGGCCTTCTTAATCTATTCATGAACGCAGACCTGGGTTTTTTTTCCAGAACTAAAAAAGCTGCTTTTGCTTCATGAATAAGTATTATTAAATATTTACATATAATAACCCTACTACCGTGTTGATGTTTAACAGTGCAGGTCTGACATTATTTTTAAAATGTATATGATTGTTTATGGGGCAAAACGAGACCTACATAGGAATCATGTCTGGTGAAGCATTTTGAATAAAACATTTAAGTCCTTGTTGGTTAGTATTTGCTTTGCAGAATAGCTTCACAATTCTTGTCAGTCATCTTTATGTTGTACATCCAATCATAGCAAAAAGAAAAGTAAAAAATAATCTGCAAGGTTATGTAAATATTATTCTAAGGCTTTCAAGCCAACATTTGATTGTTATTCTGGTTCGACAATATCTGTACACTAGGGTAATATGGCAATGCATATACTCCCTTTGTAAGTATTGAAATGGAGTCGCATTGCCGAGGCTTTTGAATAACTGCTTATCGCTGTCACTGAAATGTTCATTGATTTTGTATAATCTTGAAACGAATGCCAGTATGGTTTCGTATCCATGGTAATAACGGTTAATTTTCCAAATCTCCAATTAGCACAGGTATCCAAAAGCCCCAGCATCTCCGTCATTTGGTTGACTTGACTCGAATTGATAATGATTAAAATTAGTTAATGATTAATGACTTTCCTACGAGAATCATTTCATTGGACATTTGCATGGAGTTTACTTTGTGCATTTTCTATTTTGGGGATTTAATTACAATAAAATGAGTCTGCATTGAAGTGAAAAAACAACTACAAGCGAGTACAAGAAATATTGAGGCAGCCAGATTTGTTTTGTATTGATTGTTTCGAGTTCAATTACAGAGCCTGAGACAACGAAATGAGTTGCCCTGTTTTAATGTTCCTCTCTCTTTTCAGTACTATGAGATGTCATATGGGCTGAATGTTGAAATGCATAAACAGGTAAGGAGATTTGAACCTTTTTTTGTCAAATATCTGATACTGTTTGTGAACATGTAATCTAAATGCTGTTATTACTTGCATGTTTCAAAAGCACTTAGCAACAGAAAAATCCAACACTGATGATTGGAGTTAACCAAATCGTGACTTGCTAATGTTGTTTATTAGTCTGGGCAGAAACCAAAGGAATCAAATGCATTTCATCGGTTTTGTATGTCCTGCTTTTAACTGATAATTTTTTGTGGCCATTTTCCTGCATGAAGGCGCAGGAGGCTAGTTGTGTTCATTGTTCTTGGTTAAATAATGACAGATTTCCATCTGAGCATGCAAAGCAGTTTCTGGGTCATTAGACTAGGGGAGGTAACTCTCCTGATTAATGATGACTGCACATGTGCTCAGTGAGATAATCACTGCAGGGACCTGTCATTTATGATTGCTAAATTGGACAAAGAGAGTGGTTGCTGACTATGTGATACTGGTTCAGGTTTCAATGGTGTCCTTCAGTTTACTTTGTTAAGTTTGTGTGAGAGCTGACAATGACATTGGGTTTGGAAATGTTTTCCTGAAGACACGAGCTACACGACAAGCATGTTCTGTATTTCAGTCCAGTGAATACCCATGTCGTGACTTTTCCTTTTTAAAACCGGAAAGAATTCTATTTTTATCATACATCAACTTTATCTTAGTTACTTATAAACCCTTTAAGGAAAAAGCTTATTTGCATGAGCAACCTAGATATTTGAACTAAATAAATATGGCACGATGATGTTTATCATTCTTCGGGTAATAATTTTCTTGATAACACAATAGTGGTTAAACACATACTTGTGGACAGAAATATACTTCTGTAATTTACAATTAATGAAATCACTGGATGAGTGACCGTACTTAAATCGGGCGGAGTTGTAGCTTTGTGGATAGAGTCAACTTCTTATACCTAAGGCCCTGGTTTGATTTCCCGCATGGGTTCAATCATTCAAACCCATTTTTGGTGTCCCTCCTCCTCTCCTCTCTTCCCCCCTCCCCCCAATGACATAAATGCACTATTGCTAAAAAGCGGCTTAAAACTAGACTCACTCACTCACTCTTATTTATTCAGTCACTTACTGGTCTAGCATTTCATAACAGAATTTGTGTGATAAATGCAAGACTGTGCATAACAGCCCATTGTGATTCAAGCATCATATTTCTACATGATGTAATCCTTTTCCCCACCCCTCACTGTGCCCCACCCCCAACCCCCAACTCCAGTGGCAGACCCTAGAGTACAAGTGGTCCCTAGAAATTATGTCGCAGAGTCATTAAAGACATCAGTAGATACTTTGAATGTTGTCATGCCAGTGCAATCTTCCCTGTATAATAGATTCCAGTGTTGAAGCACTCTTGAAAATATAACGGTCTGAGATTGATTCTTGAATTGTACAAACATACAGAACAATGCCTCTCAGTATTCGTACTGCGTACAGATGTTGTATCTCCATGGGTATGGAACCCACATATACTTTGTAATTTATATCATTGCTGTATCGCTACAGCTGGCAGTGAGTAGACAAACAGGATTGTATTGTGGTGCTACGTAATCAATATTCGGTATTCACAAGCTTGTACAGTGTTTGCCCTGTAAACACATCAACAGCAATAATTGCCGCTTAAACATCACTTCCCATGAGGCATTTCTATGGAGGAATATTAGTTTTTCGCCAATTAAAATATTTGTCGAAGTTTGTAATTAATCATAACATGGTACGCGGGACTGAGAGGTTTGATGGTTGGGGCAGTGACACTGCTGTTGATTCAGGTTCTGAAGGGAAAATGGCCATTAAACAGTAAAAGACAAATGATTTGGAAACATGGTGTCCGAGGGAAAATTACTTTTCCCTGATGATGTTTTCAGCTAATATTTGACTTTGTTTGTCTAAACACCATTCGGCTATTTGTCCTTACTTGCTTGAACTATTATGATTGCTAACACCTCGTAAATGCATCTATGTTTGGATAATATGTGTTCGAACATTGGCAGTATTTATTGTCTTGATGCGTAGAGTAATAGAAACTGTGGATTCAAATATTTAGACAAAAATTATGGTGCTCCAAAGACATAAAAATGCTGAACGACAATGCATTGCAATAGGATAAATGTTTTAAGAGAAATTCCCTTGATAAAGCTCAAACACGTCTTGATGATGGAAGTGGTATGATGTAAATATACGATGGATGTCTTTCAACAGGACATTGACAAATGCACTTATCAGCACCAGACAATTACAATCGCAAATGTCTTTTCTAACCAAGCTAACAGGCTCATTTAAAGAGTATAATTTTGTTCAGGAATTGTTGAACAACACTTAATCCTCATTTTTCTATAAATATATTAAATGTCAGAAATCTAAAAAAAATCCATTTAATGTGATGCCGTTATGTAAAAATGGAAATCACTATTTATAATGAAAATCTTTAAAGTCTGTGTCTAAGAATGCTTTCTCCTTGTTGTCAGTCTCTTTAGAATGGGAATTTGTTTAAACGGAATATAAATGGTGGCTATTTTTTTCAAATTCCTTAAGTAAGAATCTTCGGTTCATACTCTTCATCAAGGCTTTCATCTCACAGAGATATTCTGTAAAAATGATCATCACACTGTTAACAATAGGTTTTAGGTTTCTAATAGAACACCTTAATTAGATATCCGCTTTGTTGTTAGAAACACATTTTCCAAATTAAAAAAGGGCTTTGTGCATTGATAAAGAAAAGTTAGTCATCATTCAACATTTTAAGGCTCGTTAATGCATTTTAAGGAACCGTTTTGGATAGCTTTGGTAAAAAACAGACTTTAAATGAGCTGAAAGAGCTGAAAGCGTCATGGCTGTCTTCAAGTGCATCAGAAGACCTCTTCAAATTTTTATAAGCTGTAGCAATGAGAGTGGTATTGATTTATACTGGCATTTAATAAAAGAATTGCATAGAGAAGCAGACTGTAGCAGATTTCCCAATGTTTTGCCTTCAGGGGACAAAAACATGTTTTCAACCTATCCCGTAGGCTATACTTTTGAATATGGCGATACACTAATACCAAGCTTTCTGGTTGAGATTGTGACGTTTTTTAAGGCTTTGTTATATATGTTTTCATAGTACCATGGAAGAAACTGTTAACTGTTACGGTCATTTTTTTCTCTCAGTCAACATTTTAATGGAAGTATAACTATTCCAAACAATGTCTTTCTTTAAACGTGTATGAATGAAACGTTTCCTTTTTAGCAGAGATGAAAGTCTCTTGAGAAAGAACATATCCCTTTTGAATTGACTGACGTCATTCACACAGATGTTTTGGCAATGGTGAAAGTTTGTTAAATAACAGAAAATAATTCTGAAATATATTTATTCCTACAAATTATATTTTCATGTATACGTTTGAAGAAGGCTATTTATTTAGGTTTTGCACAGTTCTTGAAAGTACTGATGCTGGAAATATTTTTTGTTTCCCATCATGTCGGAGAGACACTTTAACCATATTTTACATTTTGCAAAATATTTCTACTTCAAAGAGTCCATGTTAAATGCGTTATCTGATTATTTGGTGATTACCGCAATAACACAGATTTGATTACCCCGAGGTATTCATTGCTCAGGGGACAACAATATAATCATCCATCACTCACTGCTTAAAACATGGAACATGTTTGAGCTTCTAAGGGGAGACATGGTAGTGGCATTAACTGCAAATCCACAAACAGTCTTATTTCCCTTGGGGGGGTGTGACATTTTGCCTAGCTTCTGTTGTAAGCATATGTTTGTGTCTGTTGATGGCCAACAAACCCAAGGTACAATGGCCTGCATCAGGCTTACACGTATGATGCTGTCAGAACAGTGAGAACAGCAATCGGTTACCCTACAAAGTGATACATTTGCTTGTAAAATGGTTCCAAATAATTTAGATATGCTGTAGATAGAAAAGATACATACATATTTCAAAGGGCATGCCCATTACTGACATCTGTGAATACCGGTACCCTTCAAATGCTGGCATCATGGTTTGAATTTAAGGAGCAAGGTTATGAAATGTATATGGGTAAGATTTTATGTACAGTTATCAGGTGTACCCTTAACAGCTTGGCCATCTCATCACATGAGAAGAGGGTTGCCTCCCTTTTGTCACTTACAGTGGATTTGCAGTATTGTGAGCACTATGTACTAAACTGGTTTTAGGGGACCTTCTAGAATGTACAAGTATATATGTGTGTGTGTATTTAGATAAAGTAAATAAGCTAATGGATAAAATATTTCTTTTACAGACTGAAATAGCAAAGAGATTGAATGCAATCTGTGCTCAAGTTATTCCATTTTTGTCACAAGAGGTAAGTATTCAAGAACATTCCTAGATTTAATAAATCTGAATTTCATGTTTTCAATTTGTATTTGCCATATTTATCACCTGTTTTGAAACACTGTTAATATAGTTATATTTTGTTGTGATTAAATTTTTGTATATTTAAAAGACTCATGTTGATACCTGGAGAGTTATATTGTAAACTTGATTCTGATTAGTTGATGGTGTTGTAAGCTTGTCTCTGATTGGTGGATGTTTGTTTTCAGCATCAGCAGCAGGTGGCAGCAGCAGTTGAGAGAGCCAAACAGGTGACAATGCAGGAACTTAACGCAATTATTGGGGTGGGTACTAGAGTTGTTTTTAAGCTTTTAAATAATCACCAATAAGTACCTATCTAAAATCATATTTGTGCTAAAATTTCTTGCATAGTATTGATAAGAAAATTACATATTTATTAAAAACATAATACTCTGGGACTTAAATAATTTTGCGGCCACATGACACTGCTATTAGTGTTTTTCTGAGGCTTGCAATCCTGCCTCGAATTGTCAGAGTTTTGCAGTACAATAACAATTTAGTTCTGGAAGTGTTTAAATATGTGTATTTAGAAGGTATGTATCAAGCAGATGTGATATTTTTATAACTAGAATATCTGTTTCCTTTGAGTGGCGAGGTATATTAAATTGCAGTTGACAGCTGTAGACACTAACACAGTTATTGGTTCTATTTGTGAACATTGTCCAACTATGGAATAAATAGTTTATTGCTCACCAATTTTATATCTCTGAATAAATAGTATTGTGTCAAATAATTGGAATACGAAATCTGAGTTATTTCTAAACTGAGGAAAAATTGTATTAATGAGAATATGGGTAGTATACGTAATGTGGTTATTTTCTTAAAATAGCAATATGTTGTTTGTGGAGCCGTTTCTGGACACAACGTTGGCTTCTGGTTTAAATCTTTATTATTATCACATTTGCAGAAGTTAATAACAAGAAGTGAAATATTAATAATTGATTTTCATGAGGGCCAATGTAATTAATGGTGCTTTTAGGAAAAATAGGTCTAGCACTTTTTCAGACACATTTACGAAAAGAAACCAAAAATCCAGCCCATTGTTGTGTTTAAAGTTTCTGACATAATTCATTTGTGATACCCCATTTCTGGTGTCCCCCGCCGTGATATTGCTGGAATATTGCTAAAAGCGGCGTAAAAACTAAAACTCAGTCATTTGTGATACCATTACTGGTATTGAAGCTCACCTATTCACCTTACAATATAAATACAACAGGTACTGGTATGTCTAAACTCTAGCCTTGATTGACATATATCAGTACAATGTTCACTAGACACTGTTTAACACATTCACTTACACTGAAATATAGCAGTCTGGGATCTCGTAAACATTTGGGTCACTTTCATTAAATTGTGTGCTAAGTTGTAAAACTATTCCCCCATAGTATTAGTGGTCTCTCAGTTTAAGATTCTTAAAGGGCATTTACAAGTTGGACAAACATGAATACATGACACATTTTAATTGATAACAACTTCTTGTTACTCCTGATGAAGGAGCCAGAATTAGCTCTGAAACATCTTATAAAGAATAAAGAATAAAAAGAAGTTGTTATCCATTAAAACGTGTGATGTATTTGTGTCCCTATGTTCAAAGTGTTCAGATCCTTTTGCTTTTATTTAATGGAACGTGACAACAAGGGTAGTGTTGTGAATGAATGGGACTTTGAAACAATAATCCTGAGAGGACCATGTTAATTTAGCATGATCACCTAGACAGAGGATGGTTGGTGCAAGGGGGAAATCAAACACAAGTGGAAAATATCGCAAAAAATTCAAAAGATAATTTGAGCTTTCTGTTACCATTTACTTCTTGATCTACTTACCATGCCGCTTGTTAGTTCAAGTAATCGTGATGCCTCTGTTGTTCAGCAGCAAATGCAGGCTCAGCACCTCCCCCACGCCCATGCCCCGCCCATCCCGATGACGCCCCACCCGTCAGGGCTCCAGCCCCCCATACCCCCAGTGTCGAGTGGCTCCAGTCTTCTTGGGCTCCCACAGAGTGCTTTCCCTCACCACCATCTTCTAAAGGAAGACAAGGGTAAGTGCAAGTTTTTACCTACTTTGGGAAGGGAAAGATTGACTTGTGCAGGCCATTGATGAATATAATTCATATGTTGTATTCCTTGTACGATATTTCCTCTGGTAGACACCAGGCCTTCAGTATATGCCAGACCTGCTGATGAACGGTCATACTTTCTGTCCAAACAATAGACGCTGGGTCTTGTAATGCTGCCATGTTGGTGCTTCATAATGTCTTTTTCTGCAAAGGTATACTTTTGAATATGGTACCATGTACCAACTTTGTAGAGTATAGATGCCTGTTGTCTTATTTTCTTAGATGCATAGGCCTCTTAGAGACCAGGGGTTCCTGGCTTAAGCAAGATATATAAAATCCTGGACGTCCAGTGAAGGAAATACAGTACATGATGTTCTAAAGACAGAAATCAACATGGTTGAAAATCTGTCATAAATGTCATCCTTAAAATAATCAAAGTGAAGAGAAGTTTTTCACTCTGGACATTAGAAACTGTATGAAGAATAATGTTAGCATTAGTTAAGCTCAAGGTTACCATTTCCCATCTCACTACAGTTAGCGTCGCTGTCTATCAAATAGTGCTGAGTGATTTCTAGCCCTGTTTGATTACCGGGAACCCCACACATGGGGAAAACCCAATCTAAATGTATCCGAAATGTTTGCCTACAGTTTGTCGAGCAGGCACTGCCTTGAAGTATGAAGTTCATTGAATGTACATCTTGCGATGTGATCTCATTTGCATAATTATCGGGACATGCCACCAGGGTTATATTGGTCTATCACATCGATAACGTTTCATTATTTGATGCATGTTTGTGAGTGGAACTAGCCTTGATCAATGTTTATCCTTGCTGCAGGTAGAACTAATGGCTCAGAAGTAAATGCCTACTTACTCAGCAGTTTTATTGCTTTTATGCAAAATTATCTCCACAGCATGTGGAGCTTATGGGCTGAATAACTTGGTTTGCATTTGAAATATGTATTGATTTTTGAATATTGTACTGTAATAGACCATTTTGGGGCTGTTATTTGGATAAAAGCTTCAACTAACTATATATTTTGTGTAAATAGCGTATTCTTACATACTGTTTCTGTATACTTTTATCAATAAGCCAGTTCATGCTTCATTCCAGAAGAAATCACTTTTCACTTAGAATTGTTGGGAATGTGGTGATTAGCAGTTATGCCTGTTGACTGGTCACTTTGCAATGTTAACATTTAACATTCAGAGATGATATAAATAGAAAGTGATTGCCCGGCCAATCAGAGAAGTCTGTCACACCAATCAGCCACACCTGCCCGGTTGTGACAGGGTGTGGTCGACACAAGAGGGTTGGGTTCATCCATGGTATGGGCACATCAGTAGCATGGGGCTGGGGCTGGGGCTGGGGCTGGGGAATATCCAGAACTGTGTGGGTGTGTAAGGGTTGTATAGGGAGCCTCCTTCCTATAAAATCTATTCAAACATTCATTCAATGCATAACTGAGTTATATTAGTACAATGGGGGGGCTTCACACTTTGTACCCATGTGTAGAACTGAACCCAGGTCAGTAGGAAGAGCTTTAAGCTTGGCATTGTTATTGTAAGTTGATCCCTGACATATCCCAGGGTTCATTGCCATCACCCTTGTCCACCCACGAGTAACACTGGCTGCTGACATGGAGGTGTCAACACTCCAGTCAAACATTCATAAGGCCACAGTGAATTATTTGTTAGGATTTCATCCAGGTTTTTCAAACTTGTAAAACGAGACATTTTGTTTTCTGAACTGTCAATGGATGGATGCCACAAGATGGTTAGGTTATACTCCATGGTGTATTTAATCTACTACAGCAAGTAGAGAACTCCTGTAGCTATATTTGGTCTCTGTACTTGGGGACAATGTGAGGCTGTGTGTTTGGCAGTGGGTGGTCAGCGATGAAAGGCTTATAACAGACTTATTACGCCTAATCTTTGATCAGATCAAGTCCTATTTCAGGCAGATGATATTGCGTTGCTAGTATAAACATGTTTTCATTTCTTATTTCTTAGGGGCGGTGGGGTAGCCAAGTGGTTCAGGTGTTTGCTCGTAACGCTGAAGACCCGGGGTTCGATTCCCCAGATGGGCACAATGTGTGAAGCTCATTTCTGGTGTCATGATTTTGCTGGAATATTGCTAAAAATGGCGTAATACTAAACTCACTTATTTCTTGATTACAAACAGCAGAGGTCTGATTGGTCTGAGGGTCATTATGGCTAGTGTATGTACTTGAACAGGTTAAGTTAAAACGGTTAATAGGTCGATATGTATATATATCTATTATGCTACGAGGTTAAATGACACCAGATTCTTTCACATTGCTATAGTAAATCTGTTATAGTCATTTCTGATTAACCATAGCCTTTGAATTTGTCTTTTCTTTTACTAATTATTATTGTTTACCTAAATTGATACTGATTGTTTGGAAATGATTGTATGAAAGATTCCAAATCACTTTTTAATAACACATTTTTCATTTCTTTCAGCAGAAGATAAGCATGTAAGTATATTTTTGTCTTCTCCACAAATCAAAGTATGACAATTCAACAACACACAGTATTTGGTTATGCATACTCAAAATAAACAGAAATAATTCCTGTATTACATCGTGTAAGAGGTGTAATTTCCATAAGTTTGTAGGGAAACATCATTATCTGCTTTTTCGTTTGGTTTTCTATGCCAACAACTGAAGCAGTCATGTATGCTAATGACAACATGTGAGGAAATGTTCGTTTATTTTTGAATGACAAATCAGGACAGAGGTGGTAAGAGTAAAGTTTGAGTTCTAAATACACACATTCAAACAGTCTGAAATGAATCCTGTATTTTGTTAAAGGAATCAGCCTGACAATGTTGACAGAATCACTGTGTTCAGTGTTCGTGCAATGTTTGTTCTTACTTGGTCGTTTGGCGTCAACGCTATACTGTGTTTGTTGGATTGGGTCGGCAAATTTCAGCCCCATTCCTGTGATTGTGACACCAGCATTATCAACTGAAGTTTGGTCTTTCTCTGTCTAAACAAATGCTTCTTACGAAGGGAAATGTCTCTGTGGAAAGCTAATACCTCTTATTTAAAAAATCTCTTTGTTTTTTATAAACTTTAAGAAATATGTTTTTGTTAAGCAAAGATGAACAGTGTCTGTCATATTTTCAAAATGCAGTGGTTTTCAAAACACTTTTGCAATAAAATATTTGGACCATTTGACAACGTACGATAGACATTTCATGTATGAGATTGATTCCCAAAAGTTCAACTTTGACGGAAGTGAGCAGTGTGCAAGAAGTTGTGGTTTGCAAATTTACAAAATTGTTCTATTTGGGAAGTATATATAATGAAATTACAAAGTTCCAATATTTACAATGTCCTGGCGCTGATGTACTATGTCGGTGTCTGTAAATAACCCTAAGTAGATTTTATTTCAATATTTGATAAGTTGTTGACCTGTTCGCTTTAATCCCTTTACAACGAGGGTGAAACGCTTTTGAATATTCATCCTGTGTCCTTATTCTTAGCACAACGTTTGCTTGCCCCATCCCTCCTTGAAAGCTGCTGTACATCCCTCAAAGTAAATTACATGGCGCTTTATTATTTACCGTAGCCTCAAGGTTTCACAAAGCCGTTTTCACAGTAATATTTACCTTTGTTACAGAAAACTCGCCTATCTAAGTTTAGCGTAGTACTCTGAACACATTTCTAAATATGTTCGCAAATCTTTGCTGTATCAATAGAGGATTCATTAGTATCTCGGACGTAGATCAAACGAAAACAGCCGAGAATATTTGTTGCTTTGAAAATATTAACTACGAAACAAAACAAATGTCAGAAAAAGTTTTAAATAAAACTTGTCCAATTTGTCAGGAAAGCCTTTGTTGGTTTGATGTGTAGTGCATGCTGGGAGTGTGAAATTCAAACAACGGCCAGCGGCAAGTGTTGTCATAAGATATTAACTGTTTGCTCTTCCGCGACTCGGACAATATTTGCAGTCTGTGGGTTACGATTCTCATCCCGCGACATCTTTCATCTGAACCCGAATATAGAGGGCGCTGTTTAAACACAAGGTCTTCCTCTGCATACAGGGGGGTATTTGCTCACACAAGTGACAAAGGATTATCTTCAGCCCGGCTGAAATGAGTTTGCTTGTATTGATTCTTCAATGTTTACTGCACTTGCACTACCCTAATAGGGCCTCGACTGATTTTTGAGTTTAATTTCCCAAATAGGGCCCCATATCTTAGAAAAATAGACAACCTTTCAAGGCCCTTCAACAGTTGAAGTTGACGTCAGTTCTCTGCTGGTAGTGTTTCGAACATTTGGTATCTGTCACCCTTTTATGTGGATTGTATAAATTGTATTTTTTATCACTTATCAGTGATATGCTGCTTTAACTAGGGAACGGAGCCAGAGTTGCTATAATAATATCATTGTGTATTAGATAAGAAATATTTTCATAGTATTCCTTCACATATCATCAATATTTCATATAATAAATTCCTTATTTTCAGGAAATCAATAGATAATTTTTATGCGAAATGAGATGACAGCTTTGAATATTTGATCCAAATTGTTGAACTGTGGATATCTTCACTCATCCCTAGCATATGGAATGTCAGTATGATTTTAACGTCACATTTCATGTTTTGTGCACTTACATATCTTCATATGAAACAAAATGAACAAATCGCATTGGAAATATGCATAAGATATGAATTGATATTATGAGTAGCATTACAGTATTATCATTTATATATATCATTATTATGGTATGTGACGATTACAAAATTATATATTTCTGAAATGGATATCATTTTGTTTTATTGATGTGTATTTAGTTGAGTTTTAACCAATGGTTTGAAGTCTGAAAATGTGATGGATAACCCAAACAATTTGTTTTATGTTTATTCATCATTGACAAGGCAAAGAATTATTTTTTATACTTCTGTATTTACATAATTTGGTTTGCAATAACAACACTTGAGGACCCATCAGTTTCATGAGGAAGTATTTATTTCAGTATTTAGTGCTGATGTGGCCGAGGCATTGTTTGGCGCTGAACTTTGTATTTAAAAAAAATATTATCAAACAAATAAACTTTGTTTTGTTTTTCGACTCCCAATGGCAAAACTAAATAGAGGTCCATTGCAGCATGGAGTTTGCCATGAGATGGAATCAATAACATGTCGTCTCATCGTTTCCATCTCATTGTGTTTCCCAATTTCCTGATTCTTAACCGCTTAAGTCCAAAAGATTGGCAGTAAATATTTACTTCAGCAGATATAAGACATGCTCGCACTGTTTTGAAAAGGAATTTGTGACACAGAAGCTGTCCCTTTTGACAGGCCACTGAGTGCATTCATTGCTATTTGTTAATTGGGTGCTTTTTGTCCCTAATCCCTAAACACACTTCACTCCTAGTGCCCAAGATTAGAAATTCCGTCTCAAGGTGTTGGTGGCGATAATGTGACAGTGGTTGGTGGGTTCTTTTATCTTTGAAAAGATTAAACTAAAATCACCAGCAGAGAGCCAATTCAAATTCTCAAATACTTGTCAGCCAAACACACGGCATTGTGTGTGGGAGCCCTCATGAATAAAATTTCAGGATTTGACAGAAAATAAATTCATCCTTTTGAGGCTGTTTGTAAGGGATGTTGGTTCAAATGGAACCAAAAGCAAATATTCAAGAATGTCTAAGTTTACTTTGTGACGATGAAAATGGTGGAATTACAATAATCCTGCCTGCGAGTGTTGACTCTAGCCTATGGTGGTATTTACCTAGCAGCCGTTTATTTGTTTTCCCTGAGGGAGTGCTTTTCCCCGTGTACAAATTAGATATTTTTCTTAACCCATCAATTAGATGGATCAGTGGTGGTAGACCTGTTGTTTGCTCATGATTGCCGACCCTGCGATTAAAAATAAGAAGATTTCGGTTTAATGCTTGGCAGTTCTGATTATTGTGTTAGGTATTTATTTCATATCGCAGAGTTATTCATGTAATGTTTTTCGTAGAAGTTGTTGAAGCAGTGTGAGTTGAGTGTAGCTCTGTTGGACATATTGATTGTGAGAGTCCTTTTTAATGGCTGGTAATGATTCTGACTGTAAATATTTTTTGACCCATGGAATAATTAAGTGGTTCTGATCAATACTTACCCTAGAATATCACAGTTTGTGTAAATATCTTGCCATTGGGCAGATGTAAAGAGTTATCCAATACCATGCCAGTAGATAATGGATAGAGCAGGCTTGTTTGAAGGGGATTCATGACATGGCGCCAAATAAGCAAGGAAACTGGAATAAATTTGCCATTCTGATATTTTGATTTGGTTGATATTTAACTGGTTCAAATTTTATATGTCAACGTGGCTGATCAAAGAATCTTTGTGAACAGGTTCATTCTTTGGTGAAATGATAATCTCAGTTTTCTGACGTTGTATATTAGCATAACCATCTCTGCATGGATGATTTTTTCTGGAAATAAGATATGAGGATTCTGAGCAAACGCTAGCATGCTGTTTGACACTTTAAATTCATTGTTCCCGCCCCAACTATTCTTCCTATCTGTTTTTGATTAATCGCCCAATGTATCAATAATGTCTCCTTGTGAAGTCACAAGGATGTTTTGAAAATGAGACATGGAATTTGTAACCATTTATCCAGAATACTGTATTGCTATTGGGGCGGTGGGGTAACCTGATGGTTAAAGCGTTGGCTCGTCACACCGAAGACCCGGGTTCAAATCCCCCCATGGGCACAATGTGTGAAGCCTATTTCCGCTGTGATGTTGCTGGAATATTGCTAAAAGCGGCGTAAAACGAAACTCAGTCAGTCAGTGTATTGCTATTTCTATGCCTTTTTCATATTTAGATAGATATTGCTCTTCACATTTAAATTGTGTAATGAACTTCCCTGCTTAGTGAACAGTCCAAAGTTCAGTTTAGAGGGCATTTAGTGATGTGACACATTAACGTTGACCTTAATTCAACATTTAAAAATGTCTGCTGACATGCGGCTAGTTATTTCAAGACTTCGACGTAAATGATAGCCTATCAAAGATTGTAATGATTAATTTTGGATTTATTCCAGACCGTATTTGGAATCTTTTTACAAAAATTGTCTAAATAGTTGATGAGTGGTGTTTATAACGCTCCCCATCATTCGGAGGTTGCTGCAAAGTGGCTCACCATGGTGACAGTGCAGACGTGCCAGCCCTGCCCACAGGAAATCCGTGTGTAATTTGGTAGATTTTCAAGTGTCACAATCGTATCTCGTGGAAATGCTCTGCTTTCATCATCAGTACTGAGAGGAAGTGATAACAGCATGTACTTCGTGGATGTCAGATCAGGTTGGGGGATGAGGAATAGGAAGCCTTAAAGGAGCTCTTTGCTTTTCGAATTGAATATTCTGGCATGATCACTTGTAAGTAGTAGTGGTGGTCCGATTAATTGAAATAATCGAAGATTAAGCTATCTTAGTGTTTTCTCACAATTGAACACGACCAATTTTGGAACATTTGTTTGCATTAACAATATTTTCAGAAGGCTGGTTTTGTCTGTGTTATTAAATTTACATTTCATAAGCACTACATGTACAAGCTCGTTCCAAGTCATGATTGAATTTATCTTAAAGATAACATACTAATCTTCATTTAAATATGCAAAATTTGCAAATGGACTTTATGCAATTTGCAAAAAAAAACCCCACAAATTGCTACATGTTTATTTCTTTATTTTTTTGCGCATTAACAAAAATAACAGGAACATTTGATAAATGACGCTAACCAATTATTTTCGATGATTGATCGATTGTAAAGGACCAATCATCAATTATTAGATTTTAACCAATTCCCAACACTAGTAAGTAGGAGTGAAAGTAATCTGGAAACTGTTATTGATGGTGAACTGCCCAGTGACCTTAGAAGCTGCAACTTCTAATGCAGAGTTGAGTCCCCTTCACAGTACTGGATCTGCTTGTTAGGGGTCAGATGTCCAACTCTCTTATGACTGTACAATGTACTTGTTTTACTTGAGTGCTACAGATTTAGTCATGTGGGGCTTTCCTCCCACAATAAGCTGATCTACCATTACATGACTGAAATACTGGCCAAAGCATGTTAAATCATGACTCGGCCATCACCATGCAAACCATTTCCTGAAGAAGATATTTTAACTCTGGAAGTACTCCGCCAACACTTACATCGTCCCTTTACCAGAAGCATGGAGAAATCATTATGTAGTGGCTGTGTATGCTAGCCAGACTCAAGATGTAGCACTTGATTAATGGCTCTTTTTACATTGGAATATTATCCTGTAATACTAACCATATTAATAAGCCTTGAAATATGATGAACCTGATTGAAATCTCAATTGCTATTCCTGCTGAAACTACTTACAACTGCGTAAGCACAAGTGTGGGATAATCTACTAGGTTGTGTTAAGTCTTCAGACCTTTGGTAGTGTTTGATTGGAAATACTTAGTCTGCTTGCTCCTACAAACAGGAGGTCAGCTGCCATTACAACGCGATCCTTGTGGGGTCACCGTTGTGTGAGCAGACATTATCTCATATCCGAGGTCACCTCCTTCAGCCATGGCGTCAGGTACTATACCAACACTGGTGTCCACTTTTAAACTCACAATAACCAAACTGGTATTATTTACCAGGTTCTAGACGGAGGTAAAACATTTGCTGAACTTATCAGTATTGCCATAACTCTTGCCAGTTTAAATTGCATTGATCATCTGATAGTATTGACACAATGTGTAATGGATTTCCTTGGCCTTGCAGAACCATATCTCAACATAGTACATCAAATATTAGCAAGCCTGGCACCTCTATTGAAAATTTATCCAAACACTGTAATATTTCATTTGCTATAATCCCTTATCCTCGCCATCTGACGAAGTGCTTGACTTGCACTCGTTGCTTCTTAACGAGCACTGTACATTGCTGAGAGGCTAGAGAACCAGTAATGTGCAAATACCATCGCTTAGCAAGAGCCTAGGCCCAGCCAAGTCAAATACAACTCAAGTATTCTCTTTGTTTACCGCATGGAGACTTCATCTGTAGTCGCTCTGGACTTCAAAAATGACTCACTTTATTCTGACAAACTCTGTGTGGAGGAATTAATATTGACCAATCATGGATGTCAAATACTTGTATGCACCAATCAGATTGTAGAAAATCCTTTGCTTCCTTAGAGATAATCTTTTTTTTGCACCTCCAATACTAAAGAGCTCTCCCACGGAGCCTTCCTAGTCTCCCAAGGGGACTTGTGTGATAAACAACTGTTATTACGGCTTGAATTTTGAAAAAGAATTGTAATGTCATATATCAAATGGCCTTTGACAGCACGGTTTATTGTTAAGCGTATTAAAGAAAACTAACTGCGGAATGTGATATATTAAGATATTAAAGGTGAACAGACGCGTTAGAGAGCCGTGTTAAGTGTGTTGTGAGCTTACAACGCTCCTTGAACCTGCCAAGCTTGTGAAGCTAATGTTCCTCTTTATTAAGAGCAATGCATACTGAATATGGTTAATACAGTGTACACTGGAACTAAACAGGGCCTGCACATTTGGATTAGAGTTAAATCTAATAAACCACTCCAAGCTATGGCATAAGCAAATGAAAAATTCTTCATTGATTGACAGACAAAAACACCAGTTTCAAGGACCACTTTATGTTATGAATTCGGATAAGAGCATGGCTGTTTGCGTAATGATATTACACACAGGGTAAATACAACCTTGTGCTTTGTCAAACAACACGTCAAATATAATATTACAGCTCCTGAAATCGACTTGGACTATGCGATGCATCTGATTCAATGTAAACATACCCAGGGCTCTTAAGGACACCCCTGAGAATTACAAAATGTAAAGCGTTCTTGAGTTTGTAAATACATGTGAAGGCGTATTGAAATTAAATCTCTTGATACATTTTTGAGAAATGTGTGTTCACTTTTTGAAAATAGTTCTGTTGAGTCATTGTGAATGCTTGTGTTATTATTACCACGCCCATAGCCTAAAAGTGCAAACTTGGTCAAGATTTAGCTTTTTAGGATGATTCTTTCCTAGTTTTAATATCACTACCTCGCAACTATGGAGTAGATGCTATCACGTGAGAATAAATCAGTTTTCTATTTGGATATATGTAGTCATTGGCACTAATGGAATTCCAGAGTTGTCACATTACAGAAATAATAGGATGCCTATATATGGTTTCTTCTTTAATTGGATTTGGGGAATAATTTTGTTTGCAGCTGCATATATTTAACTGGATTTCGACTTGATACTGTGAATGATATATGAAATATTAAGAAAGTGTGGTTTTGTTTTATATATTTGTTTCAATGTTAATTGTGGGCCTTGTGATTGAATTTTTTTCTAAATAATTGGATTTTATTTAACAGAGAAGGTCTGCCTCACCCCCAGTTCATGAAAATAAATATCGGCATCGGAGTCGATCTCCTGATATGAATGATTCAGCGAAGAAAAGAAGACCTGAAGAGAGAGTAGTAGTAAGTATATTTTTTTGTTTGGAGAATTTCCAAGTGTTATTCCTGAAATGCAAAATGAGTAATGACTTTTTATACTCTGACTGTCCAGTGTATCCTTTTAGCATCAGTAGAAAATATCCATTGTCTTTGGTGTTAAAACGAGATGTTAGACAGACAATATTAATCCAGATTGGTCTTGCTTCATTTAATAACGGTTATGAAAAGGCATTAGGCATTAGAAGGAAATAACAAAATGTCTGTTGGCTTAAAGCAGAATGATCAGAATATATCTGTCTGTCTACCTCATGTAATGAAATGCAAATACTGTCATAGACAGTCTGCAACAACAGCTCCACTGCACTGCTTGACACATATTTTGTCCTAGGTAATGAGTCAGATATTGCTGTATGGAGTTTGAGGAAGACTGTACACCATGGTGTTGGTTCTTTAGCTTGATTAGGTGATGACGTAGCCAAGTGGTTAAAGTGTTTGCTTGACACATAGAGGGTCCAGGTTCGATTCCTCACATGGGTACAATATGTGAAGCCCATTTCTCGTGTCCCCTGCCATGATATTGCTGACTCATTCTTTGGCGTGTACAGATGAATGCAAGTTGATGTGTATAGAATTAAATCAATCATACTTTGTGGTTATAAGAAAGTCTTTCAAGCTATGATGAAACATTTCTTGTTATATGGTAAAGACAGATGGCCTTCTACATTTATCATGATCCTCTGATATTCAATGTCCTCTTATTTTGAGCCTCACTGTGACTGATGTCTTAATTACTTTACAGACAGTTGTACTGTACAAAGGGCTTGTTTCACAATGTAGCCTTGATGTCATGTTCACCATGCTAGGTGATATCAACCCTGGGAATACACAGTGCCATTTAGAAAGTGGTCAAATGTAACATGTGTTAACTTATATTTGTGATTACACTTTCTCAGTGATGTACAGATTCTAGTACTTTTGTTGGGTTGAGTCCTGGCTGGGTTTGTACCCACATCCTCAAAGTCAGGCACCTAATCGCCAGCACACAGTCAGCTGTCTAACCAATTCAACCATCGCAGCTTTCACTGTGATTCCACCCTGGCTGAATGGGTTAGAAGGCTGACTTTGTGTGCTGGCAATTAGGTGCCCGACTCTGAGGGGTGGGTACGAATCCTGGACGGGACTTGACCCAACAAAAGTACTAGAATCTCTATTTTACTGAAAATGTGTAATCTCAAATATAGCATGTTATATATCAACCCTGGTTTGACAGTGTGAGCTGGGGAGAGCTGATGTTGTGATGCAGAACAGGAATGTCGAGATGCCATTAAGTGTACATTTAAGATGTGTTGAGTGGTAGGTACGAGTGATATAACCTGGTGAATATTGCAAATATAACCTCCTGTTTGTTATTTTTTTAGGACAGTGATGGAGAGAAGAGCGATCAGGATCTAGTTGTTGATGTTGGAGACGTAAGTAGGAACATGCTGTCTGTTTAAAAGATTTTCATACACGAAACAAGAGAATCAATCACTCTTTTCAAGAGAATTAACTAATTATTGCAATTGTGCAACTTTATGAATTGGTTTTGACTGTAGTGACACTGTAAACATTACATTAAGACGAAGTTTTGAAACACTGCTAAAGTGTCGACTACTATCAGGTCGAGCAGTGATTCCATTTAACATTGAAATAATATGAGTTATACCCCCCATTTCCAGGATACGGCATCTCCTTTAAACGGAGAAATGTCACCTCGGGAAAAGAATAAGGACCTTCTTAACAATAAGAAGGTAGACGACCGTAGCAGCCCTCGGAGTGACACTTCTTCACATGCAAGCTCTTCATCTTTGAAAAACAAAGAGGTATGTATACTCAGTCTCTGATAGCCTGCCGAGGTATGTATACTCAGTCTCTGATAGCCTGCCGAGGTATGTATACTCAGTCTCTGATAGCCTGCCGAGGTATGTATACTCAGTCTCTGATAGCCTGCCGAGGTATGTATACTCAGTCTCTGATAGCCTGCCGAGGTATGTATACTCAGTCTCTGATAGCCTGCCTTTTTTATTCTCAGTCAAATAATCAATATTGTTGATGTCTCATTCTTTCATACAAATATATTTAAAGATGTTTTAAATAGTTTGATATTTGTTTTTGAATCAACCCTGTTTCATTCCAGAATGACAAGGCTGCTACGCCCGTCTCCAAATCTGCCACACCCACAAGTTCAGGAAGTGCTACCCCCGGACCATCAGGCCCTTCTGTTGCCGGGAAACCAGGTGCCAAAGTCCATCCTCTTGGTATGGGGAGTTTTGAGGATAGCTAGCACCTCAGAACTAGATAGGGTAGATGTAAAGCCTAGTGACTAGTAATATAGAGCCAGTTGTGTCTCAAAACTAGATAGGGTAGATGTAGAGTTTTGTGACTAGAATCTAAGGCCAGTTGTGTCTCAAAACTAGTTGACGTGGACTTCAAGTAGTTTATGATAGATCAGCTTTAGAAAGTGTAGTGGTAGTATTCTGGAGGGTCTGTCATGCCGTGATTGGTGCATGTCTAGCAGTTGTTTACAAGGAGTTGTCATACGGGATACATCAGGTGTCATGTAGTAAGTTTGCCAGGAATGCCTCAGAAGTGCACTGCATCAGAATTAGCATTTGAAGATCTGATACAGTTGTCATGATAACACAATCGATGTAGCCATTATAAGCATAAGACATCTTCATTAGTGGGACGGGTAGGGATACGAGTGCCCCAGTTACATTCTGTTTCTCATTCTATTCCTGTCCAGTATCTACAAGGAAATGTTCATCTACTGCCGTTGTTAATCAACACGAGAACAAGAAATAAGATTCAACAGTTTCTAGATGTTAAAGATCACTACTCCAAAAACTAAAACTGAAACAACCCTAACATGTTTTACTACATTGTAACACTTTCAATGCATAAATACTATAAATCTCTACAGAAGTTTATTCTGTTTATTACTCTTACATAAGTTGGACCTATTAAGCAACTCACTTGTGAGGATCTGACGTAGATTCGGTCTACAGCAGCCAATGCTTGTCGAAAGAGGTGACTAACACGATCGGGGCATTGGCTCACAGATTTGTCATTGTACCCAAAGTGTGTTGCTGAGTGCTCATGATGTCAATCACTGGATTGTCTAATCCAGACTTGGTAATTTACAGACTGCTGTCATAGCTGGAACAAAGCTGAAAGTGGCCTTCAGCAATGGTGTTGAGCAATTGCCAGCATTTCTACAAATATTCAAAAGATGCAGATTACAGCCTGGAGTGTGAACCTAGTATTTGCCAGACTTGTTCCAATGGTACATTGTCTACGTCTTTTAATTGTATAGGTGGTTTTCCTTTAATGCCGCATTCAGCCGCGGCAGCCCATGGAGGACTGCCGGGGGACTTGAGCCCGGGTGCCTTTAACAACGGCGCCGTCATGCCTAACGGCATCGGGGGAAGCCCCCTCAACAACTACTCCAGAGCTCCCATGGTAAGACCACATTGTAGAAGGACAAGTTGCTATGCTGTTAGTGTGGTGTGGATTTGTCCTTGTTATCTCATCTTTCTTAACTTGACATGTATTGATAGTATGATGATCTTATGACCTGGATAGTGTGCAGGTAACGGGATATATCATCCTTATTTGTGTTTGAAGAATTTGTTGAAACTTTTGAAATTTCATTCATTACAATTTTAGAGAAATATCTTGTGGCCAATTAGACAGGAGTAACATGTTGTATTTAGGATGACACTTTCCTAGGAAACTGCCAATTCTAGTACTTTTGAGAGGAGGCCCATATGGAACACATAATCACCAGCATTACATTTTATATTTGTGTTATATGCTTCTCCACATTCCAAGTGGAAAATATGAGACCATGATTACAGTTACTGTTGTGTTTGTATATATGTCATTCAATCAATTGGTGACTGAGGGTCCTGTTGTTTCAGGGGTTTGAGCCCACAACTCATAGTGTGGGGCCCATGAGACCGGCACTCGGCAGCATTCCAGGGGGTAAACCGTAAGTACCACCATGCTCCATCTATCTGTGTCTCCACACCTTAGTGGTTGAGTAGATTCTTGTCGGAGTTCATCGTAAGACATGAGAAGCTCAAATCTGACATCTGCTTCCAATTTACACGAAATGGCAAAGTCGTTGTTTCCCTTTGAAATACTCATTGTTTGTTTCGGGTGTGGGTGAAACGTAACAGTATTATTAAATTTACAATGTATATGGTCATTTGTATGTGGTATTACAACATGGGATAAGTGAACGGTTGAGGTTTGTGTATTCCTCATGAAAGTCTGTGAAGAAGAGAACCAAGGGCATTGCAAGGGAGGCAACTCTTGTTAAGACTTTTCCTCTGCCTCTCACCAAAGGTCTTCTTGATATTAAAGACATTCAGTGGTGGATAATTATTATCTTATTTGTGGAAATAATACTAAACCTCTCTATTAAATGTGAAGTGTCATTAGTTATTATATAATCATGTGCCATGTATGTGCCGTGGAATTTTGATGTGGTTATATTTTGTGTTTCACATGTGTTGATGGATTTTGAAGATTTTATGAATTTCCCTTCATTCTCAATACTTAAAAATGATACAGCTATACAAAAAAGTACACATCTAGTTAGTAGATGAAAGGAATTTCTCCCCTTTTATCTTACTGAAAAACAATTCTTGTTATCTGTAGCCACCATCCACAGTTTCTTTCAAAAATCGTTAGAAACCGGTTTACCAGTAGTAATCCTCGTCTCTCCATCTGAAAACATGAGTTAGTTGTGTTAGGTGATTGATATGAACATGATAGTTTCAAACATCTATATATTTTTCAACTGGACCTTTGGTAAATATTGTTCATTGTTCGCTCATTATTTGGCTCTAAGAGAACTGTATTCATAAGTTCAATTATTGCAATACTGTTTTCTGATTTCAGAGCATATTCCTTTCACGTGAGCGCAGACGGTCAGATGCAGCCGGTGCCCTTTCCTCCAGACGCTCTGATTGGTCCAGGCATTCCGCGTCATGCTCGACAGATAAACACATTGAATCATGGGGAGGTTGTGTGTGCAGTTACCGTTAGCAACCCGACCAGACACGTGTATACAGGAGGCAAGGTAAGGAATGGTAGAAAGTTTGAATAAATGTATCCTTTTTTCAAAAATATTAAAGGTGCAAATTATGTTGTAATCGTAGACCTTTACACTGTTACGGTAAAACAAAATGTGAAGCTACTGTGTGATCTAAGAGATGTTGTTTGTTCCAGGGCTGTGTGAAGGTCTGGGACATCAGTCAACCAGGCAACAAGTCTCCTGTCTCCCAGCTGGACTGTTTGGTGAGTTACACAAAATACTCCTCGATTAATAATGATTCATGTCAAAGATCAAACCATATCAAATGTTTGGTGAGTTCTACAAAATACCCTTTGATAAATAATGGTACATATGACGTCTGAGATCGAGACATATGAAATGTTTGGGATGTTTCATATTTTATCACTTCCTTTTCTTTTTTCCAGCAAAGAGATAACTACATTAGGTCTATCAAGTTATTGCAAGATGGCCGCACACTGATAGTGGGAGGCGAGGCCAGCACGTTGTCAATATGGGACTTGGCAGCGGTGAGTATCTTGTAGACTACTTCAGTCATAATTACATTTGAGTGTTATGTTGCTGAAATTGCTGTGATGAACTAGCTTGTGACCATTTTATTCGCTTGAGCACAATCTTGTTGGGGACTTGTTAGGATCGATTAGGTAATGCTAGACTTGGCTGGTCAGGCTCGATTTGGTTATTGCATGACATCATCATCATCATTGGCCAAGGATGTTGATAATATAGCAGGAATATCACTAACTGAAGCTTAAATAAATGCTTGGTACACTGTCGAAGTTTCTATGGAATAGATAGTGTGGTTTATTAAGTAACTTTCTGTTTTTCAGCCCACCCCAAGAATCAAGGCCGAACTGACGTCAAGTGCCCCTGCATGTTACGCCCTTGCCATCAGTCCTGACGGCAAAGTCTGCTTCAGCTGTTGTAGTGACGGAAACATTGCAGTCTGGGATCTCCATAACCAGACACTGGTTAGGTAAGTCACAAACACACACCCTTAGCAAATTAAGAGGCACTAGTTTGGAGACTCAGAAACAAGTACACACTCGCAACCTGACTCTAGTCAGAAACAACAACACCCCATCTAGATGATAGAAAGATGGCACAAATGATGACAGAAACACATATACCCAAAACTAACTCATGTTGAGTTAATCAGCAACAAACAAGTCCTGGTCAGGTTTTTGTGTGGTAAATGGAGAAATATACATGGTAATATTGACCTAAGCTCAATGGATTTCATCTGCTTCATTTACGTCTTCTATGTGACTTCAGGCAATTCCAAGGTCACACAGATGGCGCTAGCTGTATTGATATTTCTCCCGATGGTACCAAATTGTGGACGGGAGGTCTGGACAACACAGTTCGATCCTGGGATCTCAGAGAGGTAACAAGTCAACTACATGGGATTCCTTGACCAAAGATTAAAATGATAAGATTTATTATCACAATGTGTTACACAGTGTCCCATTGAACAAAGTAGTCTAGGTTATGACTTTCGTATGCCTGTGATGAACTAAAGAGTTACTGAAGGTTGTAATGCTACAAACACTTCATGCATCAGGACTCTGGCCGATTGTGTGCCATCATATCATGATGAAGTGGATTAGTTTCCTACAACTAAAAACTTGATAAGACTGAAGTGTATTACTTGATAGTTGAGAGGCAATGCGTGTTTTACATACTGTAAAAATGTTAGCTCCTTTTCGTTACTATATTTGAGAGAGTTTACAGATGAAGACTGACACGTTTTTGTCCCCAGGGTCGTCAGTTACAGCAGCACGACTTCACATCACAGATCTTCTCCCTGGGGTACTGTCCTACAGGGGAGTGGCTCGCTGTCGGGTAGGTGTTAGTCATTATCATGTCTAACTGTACAGGATACAGAGTTAAATTACCCAATCATGAATGATGTCCTACTTGTAAAACTTGCAACAAAGAGAAATATCACTATGTTAACCTTGTTAGATGTATCTGTCCTATTGGTAAATGATCTTGTGGAAAGTTTCCCTAACCTGACTGAAAATACAGGAAAACTGCTTTAACTCCTGTAAGACTATTTTTATGTTAAAAATTACATTATTGTGTGTGTAGGTCCTAGTATGTCACAGCATCTCTTGGTATCTCATGCTTTCTCTTCATATCCCCCCCAGTGTCTCCCAGTATGTCCCAGTAGCCAGTATGCCCCTGGTGTCTCCCAGTATGTCCCAGTAGCCAGTATGCCCCTGGTGTCTCCCAGTATCTCCCAGTAGCCAGTATGCCCTGGTGTCTCCCAGTATGTCCCAGTAGCCAGTATGCCCCTGGTGTCTCCCAGTATGCCCCCTGGTGTCTCCCAGTATCTCCCAGTAGTATGTCCCAGTATCCAGTATGCCCCTGGTGTCTCCCAGTATGTCCCAGTAGTATGCCCCTGGTGTCTCCCAGTATGCCCCCCTGGTGTCTCCCAGTATGTCCCTGGTGTCTCCCAGTATGTCCCAGTAGCCAGTATGTCCCTGGTGTCTCCCAGTATGTCCCAGTAGCCAGTATGCCCCTGGTGTCTCCCAGTATGTCCCAGTAGCCAGTATGCCCCTGGTGTCTCCCAGTATGCCCCTGGTGTCTCCCAGTATGCCCCAGTAGCCAGTATGTCCCTGGTGTCTCCCAGTATGTGTAGCCAGTATGCCCCTGGTGTCTCCCAGTATGCCCCAGTAGCCAGTATGTGCCCCTGTATGTCTCCCAGTATGCCCCAGTAGTATGCCCCTGGTGTCTCCCAGTATGCCCAGTAGCCAGTATGCCCCTGGTGTCTCCCAGTATGTCCCAGTAGCCAGTATGCCCCTGGTGTCTCCCAGTATGTCCCAGTAGCCAGTATGTCCCTGTTGTCTCCCAGTATGTCCCAGTAGCCAGTATGCCCCTGTTGTCTCCCAGTATGCCCCAGTAGCCAGTATGCCCCTGGTGTCTCCCAGTATGTCCCTGTATGTCCCAATATCTTCTGGGTTGTCCCAGTATCTCTTGGTATCCCTCAGTGTCTTCCAGTATGTCTTATGCTAGAATGTTGCTTCCTTCCAGCATGGAGAGCAGCAACGTGGAGGTGTTGCATCACAGCAAGCCAGACAAGTACCAGCTTCATCTGCACGAGAGCTGTGTCCTCTCTCTCAAGTTTGCTTACTGTGGCAAGTGGTTCGTTAGCACGGGTAAAGACAATCTCCTCAACGCTTGGAGAACGCCATATGGAGCAAGTATTTTCCAGGTATGTGTGCCATTCACTTCAGAAATTTACAACTCAGGATTGAAGTTAATGTACCACTGAAAAAAAAGACATTGATAACAAGAATGGCTGGTGTTCATTTCATACATTTTTAAATTTTGTGTTTGTAAGAGTTTTTGGTGTTAATAATGATTACGTCAGATATATCCAACACACACAAAAGATCATAAAATGTTGTTCCAGTTGCTGTTAATCTATCATTGTTGATATTTCTAACATACAGCCTTCTAACTATGGGTGCTTTTGACATTTTTTAGTATTATGATATTTTTAAATAATCAAAGATCTACTTGTAGATCCTGTGATTATGTGTTCATGAAAGTAATGTATATTTTTTTTGTTTCAGTCCAAGGAGTCTTCCTCTGTGTTGAGTTGTGACATATCAGCTGATGACAAGTACATCGTTACTGGCTCCGGCGACAAGAAAGCCACGCTATATGAAGTCATATTCTGAGGGTACCAGGGACACAACTTGGAGAGATATATTTGGATTTTCAGCCTCAGTATTAACATAGTCTTGCGGATATATTGGAGTTACTGGACCAGAATTGAAGCCTGATTTTTCCAGGTGCATGCTGGCTTGTCTTCAGTTATTTCCACTGAATGCCTCCTTGGCTCCTCCATGAATCCCAGTTGTCTGCGGGGAACATACAGAGAGCAGTCCAGAGAGATAATGTGTATTTTCCCTCATCCCCCTTCTCCCCTCCCTCATCTCAAAGCAGCATAATACATGCATTTTATTTTGTGTACCTCAGTGAACCATTCCTGGACTTGTGTGTCATGTGACTGATCATGTGATGTGAGACCATGTGACTGATCATGTGATCTCACGATCAAGGAGAGCTAGCATTATTTTTGTGTTTCGTATCACAAGGAGATAGCAAATCTTTGAATTGATGTTTGGTATCTCAAGAACTTTTGGATTTTGAGCTCTCAAAGACTGAAGATATGTCAGTCATTCATGTTGAATCACTTTCTGCCATGTCTGCAGCAAGGACGACTTGCTGTGTTTACCTCAGAACGAGGGGACTGTCCTTTTCCTGTGTACGTGCTATGTTCTTATGGATAAACTTTTGTGGATACTTTATTGACATATCTGTTGGCACCGTGGTGAACTGGGAACAAAGAAAAAAAGACCCAATCACTTCTTTTCCTGATCATGAAACTGCATCTCAAAAAAGAGTAAATCTACACAAAATTTCAACAGGATCAGATACGTTTCCAAAGTGCATTGTATATTCATATTTCTTTTATACTGGTCATTGTAAATTTGCAGTAAAACTATCGAAAAAATATTGTTTTCAGTACAGATGTGAATTACCTGTAAAGACTAGGTTTGAGTGTACAATAGTTGGTCAAGTGCTGAACTTGGTCATTTATGAGCTGGTCGCCTTCACTGCTACCATGATGATGGACTCGTTTGGCAGCCATTTTGGAATACAAGTGGCACTGGAGCTGTCCTATGACGTCTGTTACCATAGTGACACTGTGGGCATGGTAGCCATATTTGATCGCTAAAATGGATGGGAGAGTGTTGAATGTTGCTATTTACTGTCGTTTGAATGAGGAAACTGTTTGTGAAGATTATAGACATCATGAATAAATGTTTCCAGCACATCTTACAAAGACTTCAGTTTTGTTTCGGGTTGCCCTGGAGTTGTTTTAGTGTTCAAGATTCATTAAGAGTAGATATCGGACTGAAGTGTGAAATTGTTACCTTTGAAGCAAAAACCAGAAGTCAACTGTAGTTAAGAAACAATCTGTTTTTGCCAAGCTCAAGGTCAAGACACTGTGGCCCACCATGGAATATTGACAACTTGCCAGTTAAACAATGAATTTGTGATAAAATTGCTTGGAAGACATTTACAGCTCAACATTTGATGAGGAATACATATTTGACAAGAACTGACAATTCTAATACCCAGCACCTATTGCTGTATATTTATGTATACCTATTTGCAAGTATTTCCAACATGAAGGAGGCGAAGGGGTAGCCGAGTGGTTAAAGTGTTTGCTCGCCACACTGAAGAGCGCGGTTTGATTCCCCATATGGCTACAATGTGTGAAGCCTGTTTCTGGTGTCCTCTGTCCTGATATTGCTGGAATATTGATAAAGGCAGCGTAAAAACTCGCTCACTAATGAACATGCTTATTAGTTTCATGTAAGGGTGTAGCAAGCTGGTTCCGGGAACAGCTAACACCTGAACCTCATGATTACTTTGAAGAATGCTTCACCTCTGAAACTCAATAATTTGGACAGAAACAAGCAACATCTGTGAAAAATCTAGACTTGCTTCATTTAGGGCTATAGCTTTACTGTGAGGGCTGGGCGGAAAGGAAATTTAGTGGTAAGGGAACTGAAACAAACTACATTGCTACCCTTCCACAAGAAATCAGATGTTGACCTATTTTATTGTTTGAAGACATTTTTGGTCTAAATCTACTATATGTATCAAAATATCGTTCACAATTGATAAAACTCTAAATACTACCTACCTTATACACCATAACCATGTCATCTGTGGATAGTATAACGGTTCATGGTAAGGAGTCTAGTGGATACTACTCAACATTGATAGGGATATCTTCACCGTGGATGTGTTTGGTTCTTATTGCATATTAATCGTACGATCAGTAGTAAGCATTATGAATTCAGGCCATGCTGACTTTATGCATAAAAATGTAATATTTGTACACATTTCCGAATACTTCCTCCAATTTCTAAGGATATGGTCTAGCTCAGTTTCCTTATCAAAGTTGAATAGTATAGTTTACTCTGCTAATTGCGTCACCTTGTCTGAGCACTCAGTCACTCAAGCGACAACGCCTTTCCTTCTTACAGGGCACAAATGTAGGAAATCTCCAAACAAAACAATAAAACCTTTGCCTTTATATCTATATTTGTAGACATTTAGGAGGGCTGAGACTGAGTACACATGCTTATGTAAGGGTGTAGTGTGTGAGTGGTGTTGACTCTCTGTAAACTAGTTGTACTTCCTAGTGTTTTAAGTGCACTTTCCCGAACTATTGTGACGGCCCACTTGTGGAGAGTCCTTCTGAAGGGAGAGTGAACCCATCTCAGATCTATCCACTCAGATGAAGACACAGCCAATGAATATTTCCCAAGGCCGACAACGATCTGTGAAATCCCACTTTAATTACGCTTATTGTTTACATCATGTGTATTGATATTTAAAGTGGAACACTAATCGTTTATGGTAGCTGTCAGAAAGTACAGACATGTTTCTTATTTATTTTATGTCCAATACAAAACAAATGATCACTCTCTGAATCGACGGGAGACATTGTGTTGGGAAGCGGGATGTGGCGTCAAGTTGTGGAATCGGGCCTGTTTTCTGTGCGTGTGATGTGGTATTGTCTGTCGTGGTCGATGCTTAAGCGGTATATCGATTTACTTACGTTATTTCAGTGGATTTAGAGGGTTTTGTATTTTGCGAAATACGATCAATTTGGATATTTATTCTTACTGAAAAAACCCGAAAAAAAACCGTTTGTTATATTATAGATAAATTATTAATTATTAAGATCCATGTTTGACCACCATTGCATCAATTCCAACACAATTGAGTGGCATAAAACCGCAACATATTTATTTTGATCTGACAATGAGGAATCTCCAGAATGAACGAACACCTGTAAGCGAACGTTTATCCGCTTAGATTTGGGCGGGATTGGGTAGCGTAATTGTAAAAGGGGTCACTCGTCACGCCGAAGACCCGGGTTCGATTTCCCACATTTCACCACTAGGCCACAACGCCGCTTTTACCTTACGACGTCGGAACCATAATATGCTATATCTGAACCCCACATTCATCTTAAGTAGACCCGTGAAGATTCGGGTTAGGAGGTGCTCATGCTGTTGATCACTGGATTGTCTGGTTCAGACTCGATTATTTACAGACCGTCGCCATATAACTGTAATATTGCTGAGTGCGGCGTAAAACTAAACTCACTCTTAAGTATGTTTATAGGTTTGCCAATACCATATGTAAAGCTGCCCTATTTGTATTACTGTTGAATAATTCAGGATAATATATCTCCTGTGCATCTTGACGCTCCGAAGAGGGTCAAGAATAGTTATTGACCATTAATTTCTGTAAGAAAAGACCCACTGAAAAGGCAGTGGGCTTCAAAACACTCTTCTCCATCCTCGATTATCAGGGATAATATACGGGCTTCGCAATCCAATTCCTATAAAGATCCAGGAAACATTCGACGCCATTGTCTTTTCAGAGTTCGATTGGATGAACACTATTTTGAGGAAAGGTCCTGGGCCTTCCACATGACGAGCGACCGCTTTAACCACTAGGCTACCACCACCTCCTATGAGACCTATGGAATTATTTTGTTTGACCTTACAGTGTATTTCGATGTGAATACGTTAAATAGGAAACAGTATTTCTCTTGGAATCAAAGACCACCTCCGTGGTGTAGTGGTTAGAGCGTCCGCCCGGAGAGCGGCAGGTCGCGGGTTCTATCCCCGGCCGCGTCATACCAAAAGACGTTAAAATATGGTACTTGTTGGTCCCTGCCTGGCGCTCGGCATTAATGGGTACAACAAGGACTGGTCGGCTCGGAGTCAGTATAGTGTGTCTGAGTGGGGTATTCAAGCTTCACTGCGGCATTGTATCTCAGTGGGCAAGCACTATAAAACCAGCTTAAGTCTGGGCTCGTACAAGCAGCCGCACATACACATACACACGCATGCACGTCGTCTGATGAGGGAAATATTCTCAAGCACGACGTTAAACCCCATTTCACCTCTCCTCACCTCTCTTAGAATCGAAGTACATCTTTTCAAGAAATGAAACCTGGAGCATGGATCGGGTGTTCTGTACTATCGCTACCACCATCGAGCATGGCTGCAGAACAAATTTATGAACTGCAGGATGAAGAAAATCTGGGTCGCAAGTCAACAGTATTTGCATGTCTTCAATATCTGGGCTACTGATGTTTTTCATGAGGATATTGTCATAGTCGTAGGGCTTCACAAAACACATAAATGACAATCATTACCGTGAATAATGTCAATGTTTCGAGCAGATGGCGTGGCATGGCATGGCATTAATTTTCTAACGTAAAAACAAAATAAAATAAACTACTCGATTTCCCAAATTGAGAAAGAGAGAGAAACTGTGTATATGTAGGGGTGGGGTCGGGTTGGGGGTGGAAGCACTGTTACCCAGACCGTGCTCATACCGGTCCAGTTCAAGGATTATTATACCTTTGAAGACACGATTGGTCTTCAGCAACAAATGCATGTCCTAAGAGGCAACTGCCGGGATTGGGTGGTTAAGCTCACAATCTGGTTGATGCATGTCATTGTAGCCCAATTGCGTAAATCGATGCTCATGCTGTCAATCACTGGATTGTCTTGTGTGATCCAGATTGGTTTATTTAAGCCTTATTATAGCTGGAACATTGCAGGATGTGCTTCAAACAGCAAACAAACAAATCAAGGACAATTGGGTCACAAATAATCAGATATGTGTGTATCTGTTTCATATGGCGTTTTGGTTTTGCGTGGTCCCAGGCGTTCCGTGAACTAGTAGTGATTCTGTTGTCCTTCCTAGATGATGCCATACCTAGATATTACCAACCTACTTTTTAGGTTGGCTTGATGTACAGAGCTCTTACTTTCATAGAACCTCTAACGTCAGGTAATCAGATTTCTGTCTTTGCCGTTGTGGAGCTTCTTCCATGATGTTGGCTCATGCATCACAAGCATCAATCACATTTTAGAGAGCACTGGCAAAAAAATCAAACAAGACGGTACGACATAAAGCAAAAGTACTAGTTTCAATATTTGTGTAGCCACGACAATATAGGCGAACAGCACACTTTTTCAAAAATGTTCAATTCCCAGTCAAATGCTGAAATCGCACTACAAAGACATACTGTAATATCATGTCTCCCGATTACTGCCGCTTTCATCTAGCACTGTCATAGAAGACGCAATCATTCAAATGCCCCTGGAGCTAGATGAAAAACGGATTACAGTCTCTTTTCTAATTCTCAACATGTCTCAATCAAGTTCCATCTTTTATATGTGGCCCTTGGCAGCCAATCCAAGATGGTGTCCAATATAGCCTGCCCCGCGCCTCGGCTGCTTCCCGGTAATCCCGAGTTCACATAGAAGATCATGAAAACAAGAAAAAACAAATTTACTTTTAAGGATGAAGAAAGAAAAGCTGGTATTTTCTTTCCTCGTACTTTTTCTTAATCCCATCTTTGTTAGCACGTCATTACGGCTGTTGTAGAGATAGGTTGTGGAGCAGACGACAACTGCTCGCTGACATTTTGGCGCTCTAGCTCTTCATTGTTGAACAAAGGAGCGCCAAGTCTTGCACACGTCAAACATAGGGACATTTCCGTGTAGAAACCTGCTCCTCAAGTGGTGGCGGGCCCATGGGCCTTATGAAGGGAAAAAAGCAACCTGAAGCGAATTGACAAGACGTCGTGATATTTAACTCTTTGTCCGGTGAAGATGTGTACACCCTGACGTGTAAGGCTTCTGCGTGCTCTGACCTGGACCATTGTGTCTCACATCGGCTAGTTAGGGAACCTACCACTCAAGAAAATAATCATTCGCACAGACATT